TTATTTTAGGCTAATATAATTGTTTAAGAAAAATAAAAACAATATTCATCATTTAATCGTATCAATTGGTATTAAAATGAAATTTTCATCGCATATATCTTTGAGATTTTTCTCATAAAAAGAACATATTTTAACGAAAAATCATACCAATATATCCGTATGGTTCAATGGATTCATATCATAATATTATATTCTTCATACTTTTTATAACTTTAATTTAGAAAAGTTCAGCATGGTCGTTTTCTGTCTGAGTACTCATAAAGGTGTTAGGTCATAGAGTAGACAGAACTTAAAAAAAAATGACTGGTACATATATCGATGTAGACACTATACTGTTTTTCAAACATTTTACTTTGGAACAGAAACTGATAAGAACGAACAAACAAAAAAAAAACGTTTTGTCTATCTTTCAATTTTTATTAGTCTAAAAATCATCGAAAAACTTCTTTGTTTACTACATAATCATGGGATTTAGAAGATAATTATTATTCCTTATCAGACTAGGACAGATTTCATTCGAGTAAAGACATTTATAACAGAAAGATATTTGCATGTTCGAATTAAAAGAAATTTTTTGAATTGATCATTCTATCTTTTCTTAAAATTGACTATATTTAAACACGTTGTGAACTTTTTTGTAGAATTTTCTTATGAAGCCAACATAATATGGCATTCAAACGATGTTTGTCTGCATCACCATTATCATCATCAGAACATATCAATAACGATACAACTGTAAGAACACAATTGAAAAAATCATCTAATTCAGGTATTTGTCGTGTATGTGGTGACGTAGCACGTATTATTAATTATGGTGCACTTTCTTGTCAATCATGTAAAACATTTTTTCGTCGTAATGGACTTCGTCCACAGGTTTATATTTAAAAAAAATAATTACTTTCATAAACTCTGATTATAATCTATCTTTAACAGAATGTTCGTCCATGCAGCTTCAATACCCATTGTGAAATTAATATGCAAACACGACACACTTGTGCAACTTGTCGTCTTGCTAAATGTTTTATGATGGGTATGAGTCCAGATTTAATTCGTAAAGAAGATCTCAAAATACGAAAAGGTTCATCATCAAAATCAAGTAATGTTGAACAAGTCATACCCAAACAAATAACAGTTAGTACAAAATTATAATATTTTTGTATGTATTTAATAAAGTATAAAACAGTAATAAAAGTAACATGAAATTCTACTAAATACATTTAGATGTTGACATAGTAACAAAATTTTTCGTTACTATTATCGACATCAAAATATAATGTCCCTCGATATTTTTTAATTATCTCGAGAACGACAGCAGCTAGAAACCTACGCTTTTCACTATTCGAAAGAGAAATATGGGAGAGGAAAATAAAACTATGCTAGATTCCCAAGCTGGTGAACTTTTATTGTATCAGGTTGGAACATAAATTTTGTACGTTTCAATCAGTAGAATTATATTGCCAATATAAAACTACATTTTAAAAAGAGTAATTATATATTCTGATAGCGCTCGGAATTCTCTATTACCTTGTATATTCAGATCTTGACTTGCATTTATTTGCTGAAAAATATTTCGAGTACAGTGAAGACATCGTCACCCGTATTGACAATGTTCAAAATATTTCTCAGCAAATAAGTTGAAATCAAGACCTGAATATATAGAGCGATAGAACATTTCAAGAGCTCTCAGAACATATAATTACTTTTCTAAAAAAACGGATTTCTGTATAGATAAAAATTTTAAAAACATATGAGAAAGGAACAAAAAATGGAACTCATGGGCATTCGAGGGTAGAAGTGTCTTCACTGTATTCGAAATATTTTTCAGCAAATAAATGCAAGTCAGAACTTAAATACACAGAGTGATAGAGAATTTCGAGTGCTATCAGAATGCATAATTAATTTCTTTAAAATGTAGTTTTATATTAGCAATATAATTCTACTGATCCAGACGTGCAGAACTTTGTGTTCCAGTCTGATAGAATTATTATTTCTTACTAGAACATCCTATCTAATCTACTCGATAACTTTTGATATAAATCAGTCTAGAATAATGTATGTATGAATGTTTTATTTAGTATCTTTATTTCAGTGATCAGTTTCTTTTAACATTATTTAGTAGTTAAGTTAATAGGATAGAAAAAAAAATTAAATTGAAGTCTTTTTTTATATCTATATATGAATAGGAGAAAAATTTCATAGAAATTTTGGTTTCATTATCTTACGATACTATAAAATGATTTTTCATATTAAAAATATTCTTCATTGAACAAATGATTTTTTTTCTTTTATTTAGACTACATCACAACTACCTACATTAGATCTTCTTCAAGGTGATCGATCTCATCTTACCAATTCTGAATGGACATTACTGTCAAATATTGTATATGCTCATGATATATACAGTGCCGATCGACAAATGCGTCTTGCTATCGATAATTTATCAATATATCCTGTTGCAATGCATATTAATATGATAAATCCATTTGAAATTGTTCGAAAAATATATATATCAATTCAATCATTTATTATTTCATCACCTGATTTTCAAATATTAACTCTTAATGAAAAAACATCACTTATTGAACGAAATTTACATGGTATTATCGGTTTTAGTGAGATTTCTTTTTTTCGAAATACGGGAATTCTTTACAATTCTTCATGTTTGAAAGCATTTACAACTGTTTATGGATCAGATATGATGTTAACAGCAAAAAAATTAAATGAACGATTAGATCCTGATTCAACACTTATAAAATTGATTCTCATCATATTAGCTTTCTCGTCGAATTGTTTAGTTTTAAATATAAATAAAAGTATGGAAGATGATCATCTATTATATGGAACATTTCGTCTCTTCGGAAGTCAAAATGTTTATGTAGAACTCTTATGGAAATATATGATTTATCAATATGGTTATAATGAATCCGTACTTCGATTTTCCCGACTTATACAAATTTTTTTATGTATCCTACAAAATTTGTCTACTATCTATACAAGCAATAAAACTTATCGACAAATGACTGATTGTACTATCGAAGAGGCAAAACAATTACTTGCTATTAATGTTAATGAGCAAATTCTATTATGGGGAAAGATATAATCATCCACTTATGAGACGATATCTTCTCATTCTTTTTTTTGTTGTAAATTAAAACAAGTTAATAAAAGTACATTGATATTTAATCCATTGTCATTACGGTGACTTTGTAATTTTAATTTAAATAAGCATATTATTCTTTGTATTTATTGATACATTCTGAAAATCAATTCGATAAGACATCATAGTCTTAGTCTTAACCCTTTGGGTCTGGGCGATGAACATGTTCGTCCTGGGATTTTGCGCACTGAATATCTTTGAAAAACATGGCGTTTAGTTATTTAATGATATAAATTGCATGAATATTTTTATTTAGGATATTTATGTGATGAAGATTATCTATAATTACTGATCATTATGAATGCTCCCTTAATAGTTCAGGTAATCAGCATATTATTTGATGAGTTCACACATGGATCAAGTTTGTAACATTTTTCGAGAAAGAACCGTCACTCTCAAAGAGATATCCTGTACTACAAATATCGTTCAAGCATGAGAAATGTAAGAAATATTCTGATCGATCGATCGCATCTGATGAGTAATACGGAACGCATTTTTCCGCATAGAAGTTCATCAAGGTCATTTATCTCTAACTCAGGCGTTCTTTTTTCTTTGTCTTTCTATTCAATACAATGACGTCATAATTTCTTTCTTTTCCTTTCTGTCATATGTTCTTTCGAGAACTTTCGAGTATACTTTATCCTCTCCGTGAATGGTATATATGCATATATATATATATATATATAGCTTCTCTTTTTTATTATGATTCAAACGAAAACGTGATTTATCTCAATATATTTCATGTTTCTTCAACATTTATTATTTACGAAGTGAGGTTGTACTCAACCAAAAATATAACAACTAAATTATCGAACATATAATGAATTCAGAATCTAGCATTGAATCTGAAGACTATTCATATGACGAAAGTTGTGATGAATATGAAAATAACAGTGATTTGGAAGAGGAATTCACACATGCATTTGAAAGAATATCTACTACATCGAGAAACTGGAGAAGAGGAAGTTTCAAACCTCTTCTATTTAGTTTTGATTCGAGTGGTTGTGAATTATCTTCGACCATAATAAATCTTACTCTTGAAACACCACTTGATTTCTTTGAACTATTTTTCGATCCCAAACTACTTGAAATGATTGTTGACCAAACAAATCGTTTTCATAGAAATTCTGCACGCATAGGCAAGAGTCATGCAGCGCCATGGATCGATATAACAAATAATGAAATGTATACATTTTTAGCTACAGTTATGTTGATCCCTCATTTGAAAAAAAGCCGTATTCGTGATTATTGGTCAACGGATCATCTCATCGCAACACTTATATTTGCTGAACTTTTCACCAGAGATCGATTTAGAGCTTTACTTACTAACCTTCATTTCCGTGATAGCCAAAACCAAATACCTGCAGATAGTCTAAACAAAATCTGACCAATTATTGATGAATTAAAAAAAAAGGTTTTTCTGCTGCTTGAGTCCGTATAAAAGCCTTTGTATTGATGAAATTTTAGCTTCGTGGAAGAGACGTTTACATTTCAAATAGTATATACCATCAAAACGTCATAAATTTGGAATTAAACTGTTTATACTTTGTGACTGCAAAACAGGTTTTATAATTGATTTCATAGTTTATTGTGGTTCTAAAACAGAACTCAATTATCAGAAATACCTTGGTGTAACTGGATCTATAGTTAAGACTTTACTAGAACGCTTCTTGAATAAAGGTCATTCGTTATTTGTAGACAGTTGTTATTTCAGCCCCGCTTTATTTGAATATCTTCATCAATATAAAACAGGAGCATGCGGAACTATTAAGAAGAATCGAGCTGGTTTACCGCTCTTTGAAGCAATAGAGGAACCTGGCGAGCAAGTTTTTTATCACACTGACAATTTACTTGCATGACAATGGAAAGACAAACATGATGTCACAATGTTATCCACACTGCATGAACCAATTATGACTCCGACAGGAAAAGTTGGCTTTGTAACGAAACAAGAGAAAATAAAACCTCTTTGTGTTAAAGAATACAATGAGAATAGAGGTGTAGCCGATAAATATGACATGCAAAAGAGCTTTTCAGAATGCATCCGTCGGTCAGAAAAATGGTACAAAAATTTTTTCTTTCATTTGGTAGATCTTACAATTTATAATGCGTATGTTTTATATAAAGTGAAAAAAAATGTCAATCTTCATTTGGCTGCATATCAACTTGAGTTAATACGAGAGATTATCGGAAAATATGGTAGTCAAACACGAACTTCAATCGGTCGACCACCTTCTGAAAAACCACTTCGACATGCAGTAAGACATTTTCCTTTATGCATTGCATTAATAGTCACTCAAGCAAAATGGAAGAGAAAGTGTCAGGTTTGTGCTCATTCTGTGAGGAGAGAGAAGTCGAGAAGAGATACATTGTATAAATGTATTGAATGTGATGTAGGGCTGTGTGTAACGGATTGTTTTAAAGAGTATCATACTCTGAAAATGTTCTGAATTAAGTATTTGGTCATATTTTGAAAAAATAAACATTGATTCGAAATTATAAATACTTCTAGTTTAAAAAAAATCCCGGACTCAAAAGGTTAAACATAACAGTAAATCAATCGTTGAAATTATTTGAATTTTCTATAAATGTCATATATGCCTTAATTAATATCGTTTTCAATTATTTTCTTTAACAAGTAAATTAGACAGCTATCATTATGTAACAATCGATAATAGTTGGTTCAATAATCTTTCTCATGTCTAAGAATACCTACTGTCATATTTGTCAAATACATAGCTACACAGTTTCGAGAAAGTTTAAGCAAAAATAATCAAAGTCAAGATCAATTAATATATATGTCACAGTTGACATGGGAATTCAGTTGAGTTTGGAATGCATGTTAATACTATGAGTCACACGATAATTAATGTTTGTTTACTATTGTATTCAACTTTTGTAATTTTAGCGATTCTAAATGATTGGTCGCACTTCTATGATTTATTTTAACATATTTACATATAGAACATTTTTATTTTTAACCATTCTTATTTAGTGGGTATTGGAATTTTATGAATTTTATCCATCTCCTTATAATTAATCGATTGATGTTCGTTGCTATGGCACATTCAATCAAGAAACACATTCTATATCTGTTTGTTTTTAATTGCATAAATTTATTTTTCATGTAAATCTCTTACAAAAAAGTGAGCATTCTTAATTCCAAACTGCAATCTTACATTGATAAACTTTTTCACAATAAGTCTATCGAATAGATAATCAACAATCTGTTTATAGTCCAATAATTACTTAATCAATCCAACATCAGATCGGCTGCTATTCTAAATAGCAAGAATCATTCCGTTTCAATTTTTTAACAACGAATTTGCTAACACTAAACATTTAACCAATCATTCAATCCTCCCATATCACGAGCATCGAAAAATAACCTATCTTATAAAAACAAATAGCTCAAATACTCTCGATTTCGTTTCAACCAATGATTCAATGTCCCGCTGCTCGAAAAAAAAACCTATTCTATAGAAACAAATAGCTCAAATATCCTCGATTTCGTTTCAACCAATGATTCAATATCCCCATGTCCCGAGTACTGATATAGTAACTACAATATAAGGAAAATGATGAGTAAGATTTACTTTTAGAGAAAAACAATACATAGAATGACTAATGGCTTTTCATCAAAAAATAACAGTACGAAGATACTTTTTATTGTCCGAGAAGTAATAGTAAATATAAATTTGACAAGAAACAAACAAGTTTTCTTGAATATGTGTTAAAAAAATTTTTAAACAAACAAAGTGAGCTAAGTGATTCCAATCTCAACTAGATTCCAAACTCAACTGCAACATATATACTCAAAAAAAACATTGACACAAATATTTTTGATAAAGTAACCTAATGAATATACTAAGTTCAGGGTATCCTGATATCAGTATGTCACAGAAACCTTTGGATACTTTAGTACATTAGCGTAATTGTGGGTTTTTAACACTTGATTACAAAATGCTTGTAAATGGTCAATCTACTAACTTGTTGAAAAATTTTTCACAGAATACTATAGAAATTAGGCGAGTATTTAATAATTACTGATGTAGTGAGACGATTCTCAGCAAGGTACTCCCAACCAAGATTCTATGACATACTGATAACAGGATGTCGGAAAAAGGTACCCTACTGACAATGGGCTCAGTACATGGGTAACTTGGACTCAATACATAACTTCTCATGATAATATAAATATTCTTTAAAAGATTTTCTATTTTTTTTTTTTGAAATATATTCGTCAAAAGATAGATGCATTTCGGAAAGCATTTCTATTAGTCTTTTTCTTGAACACCGAAAAATGTTTCTTTATACGATTAAATTATAACTTACGTTAGTACATGTTTAATTCTAATAATATATTGTTATAAAAAAATTATTTTTCTATGCATAAATAATTATTGAAAAACTCGATGATCTCATTTTTTTTCATGCGATACACTCCTGAACAAAAGTCTTCCTCCTCCTCTAATTCTTTTCATATGGAATCCCTTTAATCTCAAGTAATTAAATGTTGGTTAAAAGAATAACTTAAAAACTGTATATTAGTGTAGTGTATGATTGACTACGATCTGCTGCAATGAGAATTTACGTCACTCAATATAATCGATTAACTCGACAAATGAGTTGATTGAGGGCATACTTCATGGTTGAGTTATCTCTTTTTTTCTGTATTTTCCGAATGTCTTACTTTATCTGTATTTGTATAATCGACTATACTGTATTCTCAGAGGAGCATCGAATCAGTGACGAAGAGAATTCAAACCAGTAAAAACACTTAGCAGATCCAAAAAAAAAAGAAAAAGTCCAATCGTGAAACATTTTGTCAATCAACTCATTTGTAGTATTGCTCAATTACACTGATAGATGTATATTCTTCATCGATGCAAATTCTCATCAATCAATACACTACACTACAATAAAATACTTAAGTAATCCTTGTGTAACTAATATTCACTTGAAACTAAGATGGTTCTAGAGGGAAAGAATGATAGAGAGTATAATTACATCACAGATCGAACACATTTATGTTTTTGTTACGATTCTTTCAGATTCATTGATAAGTCTTTCTTAAATAACGAACTTTCGATTAGTGACACTTTTTTGTTTTAAGTATTGGAAAAAAAAGTAATTTATTTATTATAAAGCATAAAGTTTACCTAATTAAAACCAAGAAAAGAAACAAAAAAATCATCTTATTAAAGAAAATAAATGATGATAGACGATACATAATAAAAATCGACAGTCAACTATATCGATTAAAGATGGAACTAAATCAGAAAGAAGAAAAAAATATTTACCTAATGACAATAGTTGTTAATACGAAAGACATACCTAACATAATGTCGATCATTTTTTCAAAAGACGCAAAACAGAACGAAAAAAATTACTGCAAGGTACAAAGTTTACAGTTATGAATCATTGTTTTTACGAAATACTTTTTCTTTGGTCATGAATCAATATTGCGAAATTTAATCTAAGGAAGTGGCACTATTATCAAAGGTATATAAGAAAGCAATAGTATAAATCAATGATGTACAGGTGCTTACACGTACATTCAAATACTCGATATGAGTGAAGCAAACAAAACTTCTGACAATATCAATACTCAAATTGATTATACGACACCAACACCACGTTTCTCAGTGACTAATGATAATACATTAAAGAATGGTTTGGCTTATTTGATGGAGAATGGATATGCTGTTATCAGTGATATTATGAATCAAGATGAAATTATTGAAAACAAGAATTTATTATGGAAGTTTATTGAAAATGTTAGTAATGGTACCATTCGTCGGGATGATCCTGAGACATGGTCAAACGGATGGTAAAAAAAAATCTAATACTCATATTCAATGTAAAAAATAAAAAAACTTGATTTTATCTATTCTTATTAGGCCAAGTTTCAGTACTCATGGTGTCATTGCTGGACATGGTATTGGTCAATCTGATTTTCTATGGAATGTTCGATCGAATCGAAAAGTGAAAAAAGTCTTTACAGATATGTGGAATGATCAACAATTGGTGGTCTCTTTTGATGGATGTGGTATATTTCGTGATTGGCGTTATAATCCAATATGGAAAACAACTGGTGGTTGGAATCATGTAGATCAAAATCCCAAAGTAAAACCCGATCGATGTTGTGTTCAAGGTTTAATTTCATTAACGGATCAAAACGAAAAAACTGGTGGTCTTATTGTTTATCCACGGACACATTTACGTTTTACTGAATTGTCCGATGTGACAAAAAATTCCAACGATTTCGTCAGAGTTTCTGATGATCATCCAATTATGAATCAAGGTAAAACACTTGGTAAATTGGTACATTGTCGAGCAGGTGATCTTATTATTTGGGATAGTCGTACAGTTCATTGTAATTCACCAGCAATTGCTCCTGAAGAACGAAATAAAGATGAACCTGTCGATCTCTTACGTATTGTTGCTTATGTTTCTATGAGTCCAATTTCTTTCGTACGTAATCAAACACTTGATGAATTTCGAGAAAAACGAAAACAAATGGTAGAAAATAATTGTACTTTATCACATTGGAGTACAGAATGTGTTTTAGGAGGTAAAATTTTTTACAATTGAAAAATTAAATTATTTAAAATGATATTGATTTTTTTAGGTGATGTCAATACTGGTTTATCTAAAGTAACACTCGATAAATTCAATACTTATCAAAAAGCTCTTATGTTTGGTTTTGAGGATAATAATGAGGAATAAATATCAATAGAGTTTGTTTGTTGTGGTTTTTTGAATATAAAATAAACAAGATTTTTCATACGAAATGTGTATGTGTGTGAATTGTCTACTTTTGATTTTGAATTATTTTCAAGAGACTATATTAATAGAGAGTTGCTCTTTAACATAAGATAGTATTGAGTTTATATTGAAACATCTCTCATTACCTTCTGCAATTGATAAAAAAGTTTTATGACAAAATAAAAATTCAATGGCAAAAGCTTTTGTTTTTCGTACACAATACTAAACTTATTACTTTTTGTGTCTTAGATTTATTACATTGTTAAATTCATCGATATTAATACTTGTTTTATTTCGTCAAAATTCTGGAAATTATTTTTTTTTTCTGTGCAAAAAAGAAGACATGTGTAGATTTTCTTGCCAACAAACACAACATTAATGATTAAATATCATTATTTATTTATAAGTTACATAAGCATATAGATAATAATAATATTGCATACTAATACAACAGATGTGAAAAGCGACTATAGACTATGAGAGTGAATATATTGAATAAATGACATGCTAGAATATTTCTTTAGATCAAATTTGTTTAAGCTTGTTGTTTTGCACCTGAACCAAATCGACTGTTAAGTTTATTAACTATAGCTGCTAAGGCCATAACATCAGTTAAATCAAGTACACCATTACCATTTTTATCAACAGCTTTAAATAAAGCTTTTGACACGTCTAAATGTATTAAAACATGATAAATAAATAAACAAATAATTTAATCACACTAAGAAATACGAACATGGTGAAACAGAACCAAGTCCTAAACCTTGAAGAAGAAGTTGAATATCTTCAATAGTAATTTTACCATCACCATTTTTATCTAATGATTTGAGCAAACCTTGCAATTGTTGAGCATTTTCAAAGGTTGAACCTGATTTTAAATATTAGTTATCATATAAAAAGAAAGATAATTTGATTACATACCAATTGTATCAAAAAGACTGCCCCCACCACTGGTGCCACTACCACCAGTTCCTTTGCCACCGGAAAACATTTTATAAGCGTTCATTGCACTGTTAATCATATCAGCCGAATTACCACCACCACCAGCACTAGCACCTTGTCCTTCTCCTCCACTACTATCTTTATTACCCGAAAACATTTTATAGGCACCCATTGCTCCACTGAGTAAATCACCAGAACCTTTGCTTTTTCCTTTGCTACTTCCACCACCGAACTTAACAAAAAAAAAATACACCGAAATATTAATAGATTTTTATGTTCTAGAAAAAACCGATTTTTGTTTCGAATATACCTGATTGAGTAATGATGATCCCATTGACATGAGATCAGGTTGTTGACTACCACTTGCAGTATTAACATTTTTTTCCGTACCAGCGTCTTCATTAACCTTGCTTCGAAATTGATTCACAAATGTGCCAACATCATTGATACCCACTTGTCGAAGCATATCATCCAATGTACCATTTTCCGTTTGTTCACGACCAAAATTCATGAGATTCATGGTGCTGTTTTATCTCTGAAAAACCAATATTGAAAGAAATATTATACAATCGTTATGATTTAACTATATAGTATTCATAATACTAAATAGACGAACTTTTTCATGAATTTAGATAAGAAATCAATGCAGTGTTACAATGCATAATTAATTTCTCACATGTGTTGCATTGTTTATTTCTAATTAATGTATCTATCATAAAAACAAATAAGAAATCTTTTAATTTAAGTTACTACTCGTTTTCTAAAGAGAAAGAAGTCTCCAAAACGGAGAGTAATAGATCGTTCAACATATAAAATCTCGTGATAGAAAGATAATATTAACTTACATTTTGAAATCTTTTTTAATCAACTAATACTGAAGTCAATGAAACAATTGTTTCTATATCTGTTTTCTGATTCAAACATACATAACGAAATAAATAGTATCCAATTGTAACAAAAAAGATTCTAAGATTTTATTCAAATAACTTAGGATTCTATATCGAACTATTAACGAGTATCATTCAGCATCATCAGAAGAATCAATAACAATTATACGTTATTCGTTTTGAACTCAATGAAACGAATAGATTCAGAATACGTCACTTTCAAAATTCTTTTTTTTATCAAACCTTATTGCACTCGTTTTTGTGAGTGATTGTATCAATCTTTCCCTCAATTATCAGCTCGAAACTAGCTCTAATGAAGTCTTCAGAAGGATTAAAGACTTAACTATTTGGGAAGTAATTCTTCTAGATACAGAAAATGATCAGTATTCCTTTATGAATAATCAAAAGCACAAGAATGCCAAAACTGACTATGTGCACAAACTTTCAAAGAAGTTGTGCCCATGTCTATTCAATTGATTCACAATAATGGTCATTTGCCTAAATAGTTAAGTCTTTAAGCTTTCTGAAGACTTCATTTGGGTTAGTCTTGAGCAGATAATTTAGAGAAATATTGTATGATTAAAACAAAGACTAATACAATCACACACAAAAACGAATGCAAAAAGTTTGATAAAAAAAAAGAATTTTGACAATGACGTATTCTAAATCTATTTATTTCATTGGGTGTAGACAAATAACGTATACTACTTCGTTTCAGTGAAAGACGCAAATTTATAAAGAATCGAATGATGCATTTATCAAAAAAGGAAATTGTCTCGTTATGTGAAAAGGCTACTGAGAAATATGCAAAAACTGGGAGGTGCATTTGTTATGGGCCACCCGTTAATACAAAAATGTACAGGAAGAGAGAAAGTAGCTCTTGTGCTTTTTTTTCTACACATTTTTGTGTTAGTACGTGTAAATTTTATGTTTGTCATTGATTCTTCTGATAACACTGAATGATACTCTTTGAAAGCTCGAGATAGAGTCATAAATAACCTTAGTCAAATCTAAGTCTTTTTTTTTGTCGCAATTAGGTATTATTTATCTCATTATTTATTTTCAACTACTACAATAATTGATTTTCTTCAAGAGGCATGATGATTACGAAGTATTTCATTGAAAAACATAAGAAAAGAGAATAAAAAATATTCAAAAGTATATAAGCAAATTATCTTGTGAGGTTCTCTATTTAATCTCTTATACTGAACATAGAAAAGCATAAGGAAACAAATAATCACATAATAACTATTTAGATCTAAAACAAATACAATACAAATAGTCAATGAAAAGACGAATATACAAAGAGACATTGTCCAAAACTTCTGCTTGTCCACGTTGACAACAAGAATTTGTTTTTTTAACAACAGTTCCTTTTTCCTTACTTCTGGATACAATAATTAATAATGTTACATTTATAAATAAACACAGATAGACATAATCTTTGTAGCGGTCTTAACTTTCCTGACTTCTTTTTACAATCGTACTGATTTGTTTTTGTTTTGTCCAATGATTTTAATTCTTTTTTATTTTTTATGTTGTTTTTAAAAAAGCGATAAAAATGAAAAATACAAAATTATTCGCCAGAACAAAAGCGAATCGAAAGTCACTGGAATATATGAAGAAATGATAAAAAAATTTTTTTTCCAATAATAAGTTTATCTAGGAAAAAATCTTCTAACAAACTTATATTACGTTGCTTCTACTCATATAACAATTAAATACATTTGATTATAAATTCGTTGATCCAATCTATCAAATTTTTAATACTTTGTCTGAACTATTCATAACATAAAGAATAGCGAATATCATAACTTGTTCATACTAAACAATTACCTTACATAACTAAGAATTTATTGAACTTCGTAAAAGAGCTTTCAATCTATTCATTTATGAGTTAAGAATTTTACATATTAACACCTTTGATATTCTAGAATGAAAATCAAAAAGAAATTCTGTATCAAAGTCAGTAATGAAAAATGTTACCTAATCAATGCATTAATCAAAATATAAAATAACACAATCACAAGCTAATCCTCATGAAATATAGAAAGACATAAAAAGAGCATTAAGTCGAAAATAATTGAATAGTCATAAATAATTCTCTTGTCAATCATAATGAATTTAGTCTAGTTTGATTCGCTGTGTAGAAAATACCATTAAAAAATGATTTATCAAAAGATGTCGCTAGAAATAGACTCAAAACAGACTGTTAATGATCAAACATTTGTCAATATATTAAATTTTTTTGCTTAGTTTTGAATCATGTAAAGAGTGATAAAAATCTTTGAAAGAAACAACCACCACCCAAGCAGACAAACTTTTAAGAAAATGCGTTTAAACACACAAAAATTGGTCTAAAATCAGCAAAAAGTGGACGTTTTTGGTTCACACTTGAGGTTTCAGACTGTGAGCCAAAAACACCCATTTTTCGTCCTTTTTATGTGTTTAAACGCGTTTATATGCACATAAAAAAGAGTAAAAAGTTGTTGTGTTTTTCCAGCTTAAGAAAAGTGACTGTAATCCTGATCGTGCATCTCGAGTATGAAAAAACGACCAGTTTTTCTCTTTTTTGTACGTGTGTAAACGGATTTTTTGTCTGAAAACGCATTTAAACGCATAAAAGCGTTCACTTTTTGCTGATTTTAGGTCAATTTCTGTGCGTTTAAACACGTTTTTTCAAAAGTTTGTCTATCTGGACACCTTTATTTTACTTTGAAACGAACATTAATCTATTTCACAAGATCAAAAATGTTTCATTCAAGTTTTATTTCTTCTTAAAACAAAGACAAATATATGAAATAACTTTTTTAGACATAAAATGTAGAACACGTTTCACTCTATTCTGTGATGTATTTGGTTTTGAACAAAACGTTTCAGGAAACCAGAAAGAGCAAATGCAAAAAAAACAATCATTCATTACCCTCCTGTGACAGTGGTAACTGTCACCAATGTTCTCTCTTTCTTCTTTTTGTGTGTATACATTTATTCATGTTTGTAATCTCTTTGTTTTGTGTACTGTTTGTTGCGTTCATTTTGTTTGATTATTACTATTGATTTCTCGCTAGCTATCATATTTTATTCACTATTCATCGCACACATTTTTCTTCACTGTTATACTTCTCGTTGACTGCCTCACTCAATCACTCAATTTTGTACTACACTCATATTTCTCTTTGTCTCGTTTCTTATTATCTTCTTCGTCGTCTTATTAATATTTTATTCAATAAATTGGTAGATCTTCATGCATTCACAACTCGTTATGATTTCGTCATTTTTTCTTTCGATTAAACATTTTTTCTACGTAAAACAGTATTTCGATCTAAAACAAAAAACATGTCTAATTATGATCACATATATTCAGTTCGTTTGCAAGTTGAGTATGTATTTCGACTTGAAATGTAATGACGTAAATGTGTCTGAAAAATCTGAAAAAAACAATTTTTTATGTCAACAAACTGTTCGTAACCTTCTTTGTTGTTTATAGTTTATTTTGACGTTATATTTTTGTCTTGATGATTTAGTCACCTAATTCCTTCTGTTAAAAAATGTTTCCGATCTCAGTTAACATTCATATGTCAATCGAATTGTTATAGTTCAAGAATCGTTTTAAATCAAGATAATTAATTATTAAATTTATGAGAATCTCAATGAAAGACTTGATATAAATTATTATAATTCCATTGAAAAATCTTCTTTAATAGAATAATTTGTTTTAAAACAAACCATATTTTAGATCATATGAGCATCCTTATTATTGATTCATATTAAGGTTGATATACTAAAAATATTTCCTAGAACAATGTAGTAGAGCCTTTCAGTCACAAGAATAAAGCGTACAATGGAACATATCATGATAGGAAGACCGTATTTCGTTGCTACAGGTCAATGATGAATTCTCTTAAGACTAATTGTTTACAGTCAAAATAGATGATACATGTCACATAGTGAGAATTAATGACAAGTACGAGAATATAAGATAGTATACTACTCTGTTTATAGGAAAAGTTAACCTCTTCTGAACCTATCGAGATAGAAATCAAAATCATTGTCTCTCGAAAAAAAACAAAGACGTAAAGATATAAATATTCATGATTTAGTCATAAAATAAAATAGATTCATTATGGGAGACAAAGAAGAAGAACAATGAATCAAATCATAAGAAATGAATGAGAAAGCAAAATATTTATCAAAAAATATATATATATATGAAAATAATAGCGAGAATGACTTAACGGTACGAGACGTAAGAGTCACAGAAAAAGATATTTTCGTTCTTGTTTTTCTTTTAATTTTCATCTATATAACGAATATGCTATAACAATATCAAATACTTAGGTAATAATCAAAATCGATAACATCAACAAAGTAGATAAAACGTACAAGAATGGTAAGATGCACAAAAGAGATAGCATTTTTAAACAGTGTACAATAGATGATTACAAAAACATAGGTTTGCATTCAATAATGACTTTTCCATATAAACATCTCTCTCTCTTTATATATATATATATGCATTGATTTATTTTTATGAAATCTAAGGCGCTCTGTTTTATTATTTTTTTAAGAACTTAATCTTTGAACACTTTTTTCGTTTCTCTATTACATTTTATTCATTTTCAATCAATTTTCTATTGATTTTAATAAAATGACATCTTCATCAAAAGATTATGGAAAACCTAGCAAAGATGATTGTCAAATTCATGTTGATAAAGAAGGTGAATCATGTGTTATTAAAATTGAAAGTGTTGGTCAAGAAAAAATGCTCAAAGAATTATTAGATCGTTTTAATAGTTTAAAAAATGAACTTGATCAATTATTAATTGGACAAGAAAAACAACAACAACCAAAAGATATAATTAATGCTATAGAAGATATGACAATTAAATTGAAACCATTAGAAGATCAATTACAAAAAGTTAATAAACATATTGGTGATGATCATATACAATTAAATAAATTACATACAGATTTAAATAAAAAATTTGATGAAATTAAACAAGATTTAAATCATTTTAAAGAACAACAAAAAAATTTCGGATTATCAAAAGATATAATTGATAAAATTTTACAAAAATTAGATAATCTTGGTAAGTAAAATAAAGAAATAATTATTGAAAGAAAAACTCTTTTTTTTTTAATTTTTTGTAGATAAAATTTTAAAAAATTCTCATGATGAAGAACAAAAAAATCTTTTAAATGATTTACAAAATTTAAAACAACAAATTTCAACAAAAAATGATTTAAAACCTATAATTGATGCTATTCAAACTTTTCAAATATCATTTGATAAAGAAAAAACAAAACCTGATATACTTGCACGAAAATTAGATTCAATTGATCAAAAATTAAAAGAATCTCATCCTGAACATATTGGACTTATAAAAGATATTCAAACAAAAATTGATTCATTAAATAAAATAACACCACAAACAAATGAAACATTAACAAAAATAAATGATCGTGTTAAAAATTTACATGCTGATACAATAAAATCTCATCCTGATATTATGAAAAAATTAGATGATATTAATCATCATGTACAAATTCAACAAAATTCTATTATTGAACCAATGAAACAATTTTTAAATGAAAAATTAAATCCATTTATTGAACAACAAGTTAAAAAAGATGAAGAAGAAAAATTAGGTAAGATTAATAACTTTAAATGTATCGCTTTTTCTTTACCTGATCAGCAAAAGCATATTTCAATGAAAAAAAAAAACAACCAAAAACAAATAGTGAAAATTATTTTTGTTTTGTCAGGCTCTCCAAATATTGCTGAAAGAGATAATGATAGTAATAGTCCAAATCGTGTTCCTTTATGTATAAATGGAATGATACCTGTTCTATTTAAATTATCTGATTCGAATGTCCTTCAAACATTCACAAGTCTGTTTCGTATTTATAGAACAATAGACACTTATTTGGTTTTTTTTCTTTGTTGTTTTTATTAAAATTAGGTGATATTACAAAAAAATTAGATGATATTCAAAAAAAATTTTCATTATCAGATGAATTTCAACGAAAACAAAATGATTTTATTGGAAATATTTCTAAACAACAAACACCATTAATTGATGAAATAAAACATTTAACACCAATATTAGATAAATTAAATAAACAACAAGAAAAAGATTCAGAAAATTTCAATCGAGAACTTGATAAATCATTTCAACCTATTACACAAAAATTAAATGATCTATCGAAACAACAAGATTTACTTAAAAATATTGATTCAAAATTAAATTATTTATCACAAAATATTCAAAAGGAAAATGATTCGAAAAAACGATCAGATACACAAAGTAAATTGTTATCAAGAAAAACTATTGGTATTTTATTGAACATGATGGATACATGTTCAAGGAACAAAATTTTTAAAACAGGTCTTCAGGAATTTTTGAAGAGATCTTCAAAAGCCGTTGGACCTGTTTACGACTTCGGTCTTACTTTATCCAATCGAGCTGAAGTTTTTTCTCAAACAAACTCTCAGATGTGTTTTCAAAAAGCTTAAAAATACATCTACGAGTTTCTTCTTGGTATCTCCAGAAAAAAATTTCAGTCCGATCGGACCGAATAAGACTAGTGTCGTGGACAGGCTTGATAGTTTTTGAAGGCCTTTTCGGAAATTCCTGAAGATCTGTTTTTAAAATTTTTTCCTTGAACATACGTTCCATCGATTTCGATAATCTAGCTGTGATAAGAATGTAAGCGCAATCGATTGTACTCTCGTCGAGAATCAGAAGTAGTCCGAATGAGAGGGTATATCTTTAACAGTATCAACGGAGAGTCATACTTCTGAAGAGTCAGTCATCGTTATTAATCAGTTACCTACCTTCAGCCTGATTTCTTCCGTTTGATAATAAGATATATAACACGATTAATAGAAAAATCCCTTCCCAAAAAAACTCTGGAAACTTCTTATATTATTGAATAATAAACGACTTGGTGGAAAAATACTTTCGAAACGAAAATCTTTGAGTATAATTATAAGACTTTATTATCATTCATCGCAATTCATAAATCATAACTTATTATTCCTATGAGATCGATGATAACTCATAGAACTTCTAAAATCTGCTGCAGTTTTACAAAAGTGTCAAGGAAGTCCTACATTGAAAAAAAAAGCAAGTTAAAAATATAATTTTTAGCGGATATTGGTAAAGAAATTTCTCTTCGTACTCAATCATTTCAACAAGCTCTTGATAATTTCTCAAAACAACAACAACCATTAATGGAAACTATTCATGAATTACCTAAAAAACTTGATGATATTCATCAATTTCAAACACAATCAATTAAAGCAATTAAAGATGGTACATAATAATTAATATTGATTGGTTTTTTTTTTCTTCTTAATCTTTTCTTCTTTTTTTTTTCATGGTTAGGTCTTGATCAACAAATACAAAATAAAGATCGAGATAATCAAACTTTAATGAATATTGAAAAAAGATTAAATCAAACATTAAATGATTCACCAAAACGAACTGATGTTAATCAAGATATTGAAAAAGCACTTCATCCATTTTCACAAATAATTAAAACATTAAAAGAAAGTATGTTTATTTTAAAAATTCTTCAAATTTATTTTTATTAAAAACCAAACTATTCTTTAGATATTGAACAATCTCAAGTCCAACAACAAACAGAAACAAAAAAACTTGATAATCTTGAAGAACGTTTATCAAAATCTTTTGATACAACATCAAAATCATCAGATATGATTAATCCTATTATGAATAAATTAAATGAATTATTAACTAATATAAAACAACAACAGCAACAAACAGATCCAATAATAAAAAAATTATCTGATGATTTACAAATTATTAAAACATGTATAGAAAAACAAGCAACATCTGATGATATTTTATCAAAAATAAATGAAATAACACAAAAATTAAAAACTCCTTTAGAAGCATCACTTAGAGATATTCATTCAAAAGTTGAACCACTTCAACAAACTTCAAAAGATGTATTTCGAATTTTTAGTTTTTTTTTATTCATCAATATTTTGTTTTTTGTTAAATTCTAGTCACTTGATATAAAAAAAAAGAATGATGATATTATTCATAAAATTGATAAACTTATTGATCCTTTACATAAAGTAAATGATCAAATACAATATATTACTCAAAAAATTGATCAAATTCAACCAAAACAAAATGATGATCTATCACAAAAAACATCAAACGATTTAATAAATACAATTAATAAATTAGATGATCAATTTCATAAACAACAACAAACAAATAAATTATTAAATGATATTCAGAATAAATTAATACATTTAAATAATAATTTACCTATATTAAGTAAGATTTATTAAAAGAAAAAGCTTTGGTTTGTTTTTTTAATAAATTAAAATTGAAATACAATTTTATTATAGATTCATTGAAAATTTCACTTGATAAATTAAAAGAAAATGATAATATTAATAATAATGATTCAATAAAAAATATAAATGATCGATTAAAAAATCTTGATGAAACAATAAAAGGATTATCTGATCAAATATTATTAAAATCTAAACGTTCAAATTATGATGATGAAAAAATAAATACTGCTAATCTTCGACAAGTTCCATTAAGTCAATCAGTTGTACAAAATTCAAATAATTTAATTGCTTCATCAGATGATCAAAAAGCAAATTTATTTGCAAATTTATTAACACTTCAAACAGCTATTCAATGTTCAGAAAAATTTTCATGTCAACATATTCCACAATATTTCAAACGAATTGAACAATCTTCATTAGTACAAAATGATCAAGATTTACAAGAAGTATGTTATTCAAATATTTTAAATTAATTTCTTAATTAAACATCAGACAATTCAACAGTTATATATTTATATAAATCACTTCAGAGAATTATGCATTTTTTTTATTTTCAATCTAGTCAATAATTATTCTTCTCTAGGAATGTACAGTGTTGATGTAAATACTAACAATGAGCCACTGGTACAGGGCCCATAAAAACATCGACTCGGAATCGCCTAGGTCCAAACCTGAGGGTTTTTCCATCAATATCTGGTATCCTTCGTGTACATGAACAAGTAAACGAGCGAGAGTTTAGCTATTTATTCGCTACTCTCAGAAAAAAAACACAATGCACAGTTATATCTTGTTGTTGGATTTCTTATCTGGGGAGCAGGAAGTTCACATAAATGTGAAACCGGGCCCGGAAGGACGCGCAGCTCTCTAATTGCGGCACTGATATCCGCGTTCACTGCCACATTGAGACAGTAACTCTATCAAAATATATCCTTTTCGTCACGGTATGTTAGAATACTTCTGTGAAAACTAATGTCAATGTGCACTAACTACACTGAGTCGGCGGTGAATAAGCTGAAACCCAAGAGCGCGATTGTCGATATTTTTAGGAGAGGTGAAGAACGAAACTCAACGCGACCTGATCCCTTCTACAACAGATGACCTACCATCAAGCCGTTCATCTATTGGGGGACTGTCTCAGTCCTATGTACCTCACAACAATATTGTCTGATTATTTTTATTTCACTTTCTGTCAGAGTAAGGCAAATCGTGTTTTAAAATTTGGTTTCTGGTCAAAGTTACCACCACACCTCCTAATCGATAATTCTGTTAAAGAAAGAAAAAGTGAAAGTTCCGTATTTCAAGGGTATGTCAAAGTTATTCTCTAGAACTTTTCAGCTATTTCAAGTTTACTATCAAACTATCACGAGCCTATTTGTATATAAGTCTGTTCGATAATAAAACCCGAATACTTCATTGTATTTCACTAATACTTAAATTTTTAAGTATGATGAAGTATCTGAGCACTATTGCCAGACAGAAATAGCCTTGAAGTGCAATGAAGTGTGGAATTTTCTCTTTTTCTCCTTGACTAGAACTACATATCCCAATTTTTCTCTTTAGTTCTATATGTATGTTTTAATATATAATTTTTCTAGTTAGTAAAATGTGTTAAAGATCGATGCTTAGATACTAATTATATAACATACAATCCTAATGTACAAACTAGTGATCCAAATAAAGATTCTACGAATCGTATGAATTCTTTAAATAATAGTATTAATAATAATCCAATTGAACAACGTTCTGATAAGAATAATATTAATCGAACAAATGAAAATAAAGTTTCATTACCATTCGAATATTTAACAAAATCACGTTATATATCATTCATATCAGAACAATCAATACGTGATAATTGGTCTAAATTATCTCAACGAGCACAATCTATTATCGAAGTAATTATAAATCAACCATATGAATTTGATAATGGAACAAGTAAAAAAAAACAAAAAATATATAAGTTTTCAATTGTTTTTCGTTTTTGTTTTTTTGTAAAAAAAAAAAGATATTGATCGTCTTATTAAACAAAATAATCTTGAACAATATGCATTATTAACACGAAATGCAATTGAAAAATCTGATAAAGATTATGATAAAATTTGTTATATGATGGATTCAATTGTTTTTGATAAAATGACAATGATTGGTTGTCGAGAAGCATTAATACGTCCTTGGAATCCATCATTACTTAATCGAGCATCATCAAAAGGATTTTATCCTTTTCTTTCGGTAAATAGATTCTTTTGAAAAAATAAATAAATAAATTTTCTTTTGGAACTTTTTAAATAGGGTAATGGTCGTCAAGAAGAAAGATTTAATGTAAATAAAGATATATCATTATGGATGGTTGAAACAGATGATACAAAACCATATTATCCAACAGAATTTATGCCAAATTTAGGACGTTTAAATGATAAATATGATAAAATTCAACAACCACAATATAATGAAATTCGTTTAAAAAGACGTGATGATGAAACACGTTGGAATGAACGATATGCATTTACAAAAGATAATCGAACAATTTTATTTGTTAATGATCTTCGATCATATTTTATGGATTATGATACAAAACGAAAATATCAAGTACATGATGGTGTTCCAATTAATCCTGTTTGTCGAACAGGAATTGCTGGTCGTGGAGATTTACCTTTTTGGGGACCAAATCATTGTGTTGTTGTTGTTTTATTAAGAAATATTAATGATCCCGAAGTTGTTTTAATGCGACATCATGGTGATGCTCTTGTTTTACCAAAAGTAAATTTCTTTCTAAAATACGATCTAAATGAAGGGTTGAAGTATAAAGGTAGAAATTTCGAATCTCTCTCTTTCCTACAGACGTAACAGACATTGTTGATATACGATTACATAATGTCTCATTATAATTAATGACCTATCATTTCAAAATAGAAGGCGAGTGATTGAGAGTCGAATAGCTCGGGAATGGAAGCAGCTATGAACCTGCGGTCTTCACCATTAAAAAGCGGACACCAGGGCACGTAAATCTATGGAAAAATTTCATTGGTCAGTGATGGACCAATAGGATGAATGCTCCTGGATATTTTGAAGGCTTTTTTCGTTGGATTTTGAACTTCACTTAAACCGTTCGATAGAAAAAATTGTTCTCTTTCGATCTACACAAGGCCGAGCTCGATATCTTTCTCCGTTCGGTAGCTATAAGCATTTTTCTGAGATCTCCGAAATCGGTCACGTGACGTGAAATCATGAATGTCTATCAGTTACCCCAAATTGGTTACCACAATCAATCCTCAAATGCGAATTTTGATTTGGGGATTTTGTTTGGGGATTGATTTGTGGAAAACCAATTTGGGGCAAATGATAACCTACTGGAATCATCGTTAGAAGCATTACATTATAGGTAATAGACCACGCTGAATTCAGTGGTGATGTTTGTTTTTCATTCTAAAGTAATCCGAGATCACTGTATCGAGATTTTCAATATATGTATTCTTTAAGCCAAATAGCAGCAAAAAACTAGGTTTACGAAAACTTTTTTATAATGATCTCAGGTTACTTTGAATTGAAAAACAAACATCACCACTGAATTCAGCGTGGTCTATTACCTACAACGTAATGCTTCTAACGATGATTCCACATCACGTGACCGATTTCGGAGATCTCAGGAAAATGCTTATAGCTACCGAATGGAGAAAGCTATCGAGCTCGGCCTTGTATAGATCAAAGAAGAACAATTTTTTCTATCGAATGGTTTAATTGAAGTTCAAAATCCAACGAAAAGAGCGTTCCAAAAGCTATCTTGAAAATGTCCAGTGGGCTTTCATTGTATTGGTGTATCACTGATCAATGAAATTTTCCCATAAATTTATGTCCTCCGGTATCCGCTTTTTAATGCTGAAAACCCCAGCTCTATAGTTGCTTCCAGTCCCGAGTTATTTGACTCGCAATAACTCGCCTTCTATTTTGAAATGGATAGTACTTTTTTATTATATTTCCGGAGGATTTTAGTAAAAGTGCGGTGAAGAAATGTGTCTTAAAATAGAACGAATAAAATAACCTTCCTGTGATTAGTAACAATAGTTTCATATATTAATCTTACAGAGATTACCGTAACAACTTGTTTTTTTTTTTTGTATTTTCTATGAAATTTTTAATTGAAGGGTTTTTATGGTCATGAAGCTCGTTATGATAATCAAATAAAAATAATTCAAGATCCTGTTTCAGGACAAATTCTTCCACCAAATTTATTAGATTATTGGTGGTTAAAAATTGTTAAATTAAATGAAATAAATCATTCAATAAATAATCTTAAACGTGTTTTAAATGATAGAGAATTAAAAGAAGAATTTGCTGAAATATTTTCACAAAAAGGATGTAATAAAAGTGTTGTATGTGCATTTGAAGTTTTTTTTTGGTTTTTACTTTCTTGCATCTTGTTTTTTTTTGTTAATTGATTAAAAATAGTTTGACAATGGTTATGTTGATCATCCATTAAATACAGATCATGCATGGGTTGAATCAAGTGTATGGAAAATACAATTTAAAGATTGGCGTATACCTGAAATGAAATCAGCAAAATATGCTATTGCTGGTAAATTTATTATTTGATTTTGATTTTTCAACATTTTTCTTTTCTATATATGTATATAAATATATAGATGATTTGAAAAATAATAATAATACATGTCCATTTGTTTGGATGAAATTAATTGATGCAATGTTAATTGTACCTCATTTTGATCGAGGTATTCTTGTCGATGTACTTGCTACTGGAATGCCATTATAATTTTATGAAAACAGAATTTCGAACAAACCTATATAAATAAAAATATTCTTTTTTTTTTTAAATAAAAAATTCGAACATGTTAACAGATTGAAGAAACTACAATAACAATAAACAAAAGAACTTGTTAGTGCAGAATCGTTAAGGTTGAAATGTAGAAGTCACATGTGTTCTTGAGCCTTATTATAATAATACAAAATATATCAAGTGAAAAATTTTACCCAGACTATAGTTGTTTTCCAAGATAATCGATCGTCTGAGCAGTAATCCATTGTACTTCTAAATTTCGAATAGAAGTTTTTTTTTTCATTTTTTGTTTGCCTGATTGCTATTCACTCGTTAATTTTTTGTTCTTAAGGCCTTCTTCCATCAAAAAAAAATTCCTTTTCGCCAGAATAGTCGAAATTAAGATAAATGCATAGGAAGATAGTCCGTGATGTAATCTTTCATAAACAACAAAAATTTTTGAAGATTTCCGTCATTTCCTATTCGAAAAATAAGGTGTTTTCAGGAAAAAACAGAAAATCTTTTTCATTTTTTTTTGTTTGAAAGAGCCTGTTAACATGCAGTGCAGTTCGTAACCCTTTTTTCGATTAAGCTTTACTTTTACTATGCATACAAATATTTATATAATTAGAACGCCATTTTTAGAGAGTTTTTTGAGTCACTGAACTTTCAATCGATTTTGTCTCCTTAAAAAAGTAAGAATTTATTTAAAAAAAAGGGATCTGTACTGCATCCTGACATATTCTTTCAATCAAAAGAAAATTGAATATATAGAATGAAGCTGGACAAAGAAATTTGGTTTGCTAAATGAGCTATTTTTGACTCTTGTTTGGTCAATATTTCCCTCAAACATCATGATATCGGAGTGAAAGTTTTACCATAGCTTCGCGACTACAGTTCCAACATATTCTGAAAATTTCGTGCCATTTAAACATTCCTGTGCTGAGATGAATTTTTGAGGGAGAAGACCTTAATTTAGCATCATTATTATTTTAACCATTGATTTAACTGGGAAATAAGACTCTTATACATATCCATTATATCTAAAGCAGGTCTCAATGGCCAGTGATATATCTCGATAAGCTCATAAACGCTAATAATGATTATTTCCTAAAGTTCTAACTTGATCAATTTATCTTAAATATATGATAAGTGTGGCAAATCAATACATACCGCAAAAATCAAAAATTGCACTATATAGAACATTCGCAAATCTATTCCAATCATTTAAGTTTCGAGGAAGATTTTGGAATGTTCTCAAACAGTTTAAGTCTTGTCATTAATGTCGTTCAGTGTCGTTGTCAATCGGTAAGGAAGTTTGAAAAAAGAGCCTGACATCTAAAACTCAAACTGACTATTTTCTTCGAAAATATATGTAAATTCCACAAAATAATAAAGTTATTATTAGATTTCATAGAAATTCTCCATTATTTTATAAAGATTAAGTTGTCAACATAAAACTATGATTCATTTTTAAAAATAAATTTGCTAATCGAAACAAATGACAATATAATAACATAAAATTACATATTAATAATTTTTAATATTCTTGATTTATTTCCAATAAAGATATTCTTCTACTTTTTCTTTTTTGGAATTGATCATATATTGTGATTTTGAAAGAATGTATATAATAAACTTATATTTGTTTTTTTATGACTTTATAAATGCAATTATTTACCAATGTATAGATCATTAGATTTTTTTTTTTACAGCATGAAGAACATTTTCTTTGTCGAAATGATATGATCATCTAATATAAATTCATAGTAATAATCATTATTTTAGTACAAAATTAGTTGTGTATAACATTTACATGCAAAACTTCATCGACGTCATAAAGTTTTAGTTGAGAGTTATAAATGTATTCAAAAATGTTTTTTTTTTTATTATCAATGAAATTTTTACGAATAAATTGATTAAATGTTTGATTTGTTTATTTAAAGGTTTAAATGATTAACAAAATATAATTTATTCGAAAAAAAAAAAAAAAACTTCATCAATCCATAGGATGTGATAGTTAACCTTTACTTCTATGTATTTTTTGTTTTTCATCAATTCATCAATATTCATAATAATTTGATTGATTTGAAAATAATATGTTTATCTCGAATGATTAGATAGAATATTGATGAGTCTATCAAAGGATAGAGTTTTCATTTCATTTATCTTTTATGTTAATAAAAAATTTGATAAATTTCCGAAAGTAATGAAAAAAAAACCAAAGGTTTTACCTTCTTAGTAATTTTGAAATCATTTGTTGATTAATTTTATTGATAATTCTTATCGATTTGAAAACAGAAACTTTTTCATTAGACTTATTCTTTATCGTTTGATTTGCTGAGAATTTTTATAAGAATATTTTTCATCGTAATTCATCTTGTTTTTTTTTTCTCTCGAGAATATTTTATGTGACGAAGCATCAAAATCTTTTTTAATTAATATATACTTGAATAGAGCTTTTATTCTTCTATCAATTCATATAATTTTTGTTTGATTTATCTCAAGTATTTATATATAAATGTTTGCAAGAAAATCCAAAAAACTTCAAATCTGAAATTTTAGCAATTTTATCTTACAATTCAAATTAGTTTTGTTTAATGTTTTATTTTTTATATGCTTAAATTTAATGGATTTCTTCTATCTAAATCAATCTCGCGATTAAATAAGTTCGAGTTAGTGAATTAGGATCGTGCAAAAGTTTCGTTCTATCATAATTTGAAATTTTTCAAGATCAATGAAATAAAAACTATATGATTTTATAGAATTATCAAAGTTCAATTGAACCATATCAAATTGTGAAACGTCTAAGACTTTATTGAAATGAAGAAAAACGAAGTAAAGTTGTCAAAAATGATGTAATTAATCTGTAACTCGAATACCCTTGAGTATAACCGAATTAATATAGAATCATTGGCGATAACATGCCACACAAAAGTGTTTCATTAATTTTATTTCTTCTTTATCTCATTATAAGAATGTTGTAGATCGTTCATAATTTCTTCTATAAACTTTATTTATCAAGTGTTTTTAGTTGGACACCACATATTGATTTTAAGTTCTGTAGTAAAAACTTTGATTGTATAAAAAAAACATGTTCACAATATGAAAATGTACGTAAAATTTTGCCTGAACTGATGAAATATGAAAGTTCATGATTAGAAATCTAGTTATAAGGATTAATAATTCTTTTTCTATGTGCATGAGAAAGCTCGAATAAGTCTTTATATAAATCGCATTGAAAAGATTTGTTAACTTTAACAAAATTCTTTCTTCTAAAAATATTCTATTAATCTTGAACAACTGAAGTTAATTTTTTTCTTAAAATACAATCAATAGAATTTTATATTGATTAACTGCTGTCCATATATTTGGCTTTACAATTTTCTCGTGTTCGATGATTTCGAAGATATCATTGAATTATTTGAAAATGCTTTAAATTTACAAATACAATTGACATACTTTACAAACAAAGTTTATAGATGAAATTATGAGCTATATTAAAAATATAAAATAATTCTCAACACTAACTGTGAATAGAAATAGAATTAATGCAAAAGTTTTGCCCTACTCGCTGTTAAAACAAAAAAAAAATACGCTCGGCCAATATTATTAATTTGCCTTGTTTCTCTCTGTTTTTCTTTCGGCCTTTTTTTTTTCTGTTGAATACATGCTCGTGTTAGCGCAATATTGAGTTGTCTGCATGTGTTGATTCAACATACATAGGCAGATCAAATTCACCATGACGTCAAGTATCGTTATTTAATCTTGCAATGAAAACTGTCTCTCTCTCTCTCTCTCACACACACATCTATAAATGAATCATTACTGTAAATATATAAAATAGAAAGAAAAAGAGGCAACTGTTCAAATGAGTGATTTCTTTTTTTTTGTCCCCTATGAACTTCCACCAACGTGGAAAACGTCTACGAATAAGAATGTGGGCGTTCGTTGATTAACATCATCCACATGCGAGTGCTTTTAGGTCGATGTAACTAGAGTGAGCGATCTTCTAGTTGTTTTTCTTCGCATCGATTTTTTTTTATTCATTCTTTATTGCATATATATATATATACATACATATGCACATTAACTAGACAACCGATGACGACGACTGCAAACGATTGCGCGATGCAGCGGATTTAATCGAATAGAGAGAAACGATGCCATGTGTGTATGTGCGTGTGTGAGAAAGATGCTATCATCATTATGATATTCGTCGAGAGAATAAGGAAAACCTCTCCCATTTCCTCTTGTATTCTCTCATTTTTTTTTCTATCTTTCGATTGTTTATGGGATTTGGATGCACAAGCGCATGTATACAGTAAACAAAGTTCCATCGATGTTTCTAAGATATATATGTGCTTAAAGAAAAAAAAAGGAATGAGAATTTTCTCTTTTCTTTATCGTGATAGGAATGTCGTCGTTGAAGGCAAAATGGATTGTGCGTGTGAAAGAGAAAAAAAATATATCGATCTGAAGAAAGTAAGTCGTGCAATGAAATAGCGACAACTGATGATAGATCGATTTGGAACAATATATTTTTTAACCCTTCTCGACAACTTTATTTAACTATGGAAATAATGTAAGTAAACTTTCTCTTTTTTTTCCTCAACAATCTATTTCTATAATCCATTCGATTATCATTTCTTAATATAACAAAAACATAATTCATCTCTTTTGTATTACATCAAGCTTCTTATAAAAAGAATTAATTTAATTTTTGATGGAATTAATATATATGTATATATAACTTAACCAGGAAAAAATGTTATTGTTATTCTAAATATCATTAAAAAAAATCGTTGTCTTTAGTTATGTTGATATCATAATGATAGAAAAATCAATAGCGACAAATGTTGTTGATGATTTGTACATATAATGCTCTCTAGGATTATCCATCTCAACATATGGCATTTTTTTGAGTTACCAAGTTTCTCTCATAGGAATACCATCATCAAACATGTAACGATGATGATGACGAATCAACTAGCCGTAAGAAAAGATCAATATCCGTTCTCTTTCATATATACATATATACAAACACCCGTTCTGATGTAAATGTCACTGAGAATAAAGAAGCAAATCATTGTCACCATCATTAACTAGCATCAACTTCACTAGCAATTGTCGCCTTTCGTTGTCTCATTAATTGTATTGACTTAACTCTGATGGTTGCTATCCGTTATCATCGTCGTCACAGTAGTATCAATTACTATATATGCACGCGTCTTCTTTCAACAATATTCTCACAGAGAATATGTAAGAAAAAAAAACACACTGAGTGAGTAAGAAAAAAACAGAAGAAGAAGGAAAGAGAGGAGTATTCAGATTGCATCAATGAAATTGACAATCGAACTATAGAGACGATCAACAGCCTATATATGTTTCAATTCTAATAATGATTTCTTCTTATGTCCTGCCTCTTTCCTATCACCATGCGCACCAACCATACCAAATAAATCAGCACACATATATAAAGACTTTTCTTCTTTTTTTTTTCTATTCTTTTTTTTATATCGACTGATTACTTCTTTTTTTTTCTCTCGTTCCCTTTTGCTATCTTTCATCGACGAAAGCAAATAACCGAAAAAATGAGAGAGAGAGAGAGAGAGAAACTAAGAGACGACGAGTTTGCCAACACATCACATCGCACTGCACACATACACACATACACACACACACAAATCTTATTCTTCGCTCTCTTTCTTTTTATAATGCTGGCATGGCGTGAACATAACACATAGTCGATAGGAGAGAGGGAAAGACACACAGAGAGAGAGAGAGAGAAAAAATGACATTGTGCTATAAACCCACATACACGCACAACAACACTCTGTCTCTCTGTAGACATATATATCTGCAAGGAGAGTCTAATGATTAGGATGAAAATAGAAAGATCATTCTTATTTATTTCAATGATGTACATGTCACACTTTATATTATTTTCTTTATTAAAGAACATTTTAATGATCTCTTGTTCATTATAATTAGAAAAAAGCAGGTATGTTTTATTCGAATTTTTTTGTCTTCTCAATATTTATTCTTCTTTTGACAACTTAATATGGCACTAATCCAAAAATTCTTATGTTTAGCAGAAAAGTAAGAATATGTTTGTAGTAACAACGTTATCGATTCGCATTTCTTTTTTTTTTTTTTCTTCCTTCATATATTGACGCAAATCGCGCTTTTGACAGTTGTCTCGCATATGAATCAGCTGGAGGGACCACAAAGAAAAAAAAAACATCAGAAAACGAATAACAAGAAGAAAGAAAAAAAAAAGAAAAAGAAAAAGAAGAAAATCGAGTATATATATATATATATATAAGCAGACTATCACCAATCAATACTTCCCAAGATCAATAAGCAATTGTGCGAGAAGATGGCCACATCCAAAAAGAAGGCCAAAACAACAACAAGATATTGAAGGTGATTCAAAGAACGAGAGAGTATGTAGATATTTGCTTGAAGGCTTAGATGAAGAAAAAAAAACAGAGCAATGATTTTGCCACCTACTAGGTTTTTGTTGTTTTTTTTTGCCGAGAAAAAAGGTCAGAACTCTAGGTTTATATTGATTCTTAGTCAAGGATTTATTCTTATTCTTTTTATATTATAGTATTTTAGATCTTATTTTTATATATAATATTAAATCGATAAGCGTTGGTAATGCACGCCTGAAATTTTTCTCAAACCTTTGCTCTATCGTGAATAGGTGAGCAAAGTTTCAGGTGTATTGACCCAACACATTCTCTTCGTACATCAATACATAATCAACTTATTCAAGTAAGTATGTTCCAATTGCTACCTGATTATGCACGAAGACAAATAACTCTACGAACATCACCACTTGAACAAATATGCGTGTCAATTAACGTATTTTTATATTAGAAGAAAAACAAAAGAAAGAAGACCAAACGTCAGATATCGATTGATTCCTCATATTACTTCCAACGGTACATATATCAATATATATTTATAAGTGAATGCATATATATATACATATATTTATTCTGAAAGAATTTTTCCTCGTAGCAAGGACAAACTCAAATGTTAAAAATACAACGAATACACATTAAAAATACTTGATCATCTTCATACTTAAATTAGAAGAAGTATATTTTATCAGACAATATATTTCATATATTTTCTTTTTTGTTTTATAATATTCTAGAAAATCAATTCAAATGATAAATGTTAAAAAACAATTTACATATATATATATATGATCAGATAAATGTTCATTTGATTCTAATTTTTTTTTTTCATGTAAAAGACAAATTTTATTCAATTGTCTATTGAAGGAAGGATCAATATTCAACAAAGATCTCATATCTTATTGATTATTTTATCGGATCGGATGTTCTTTTTCTTTTTTTTTTCTCTCTTTTAGTTTAATTCGCTTAAAAGATAAGCAGATCTGCTTGTACATGTTCAACTAATTTGTGATATGTCTGCGAATTAATTTCTTAGAATTTTTTCATTTTTATTTAAAAGAAGCAACAATTAACAATAAGCTATGCAATATAACAATCAATAAATAATAATAATAATAATAATAAAACGATGACAGTTATTTGCTAATCAATAGCTTTCTTTTTGTTGTCTTTTTCATTGAAACGTCATTGGATTACAGTTCATTCTTATCCTCTTCTTTTGCTTTTTCTTTTTCTTCTTCTTCTTCTGTATTTTGTTCGTTTTGTTTTTCTTCAACAATGGATGGTGGTGTTGGTGTTGGTTTAAAAAGTTCGTCAAGTTGATCGGCTTTACAATATTCTATATTAATAAACAAGAAAAAAAAACCGAAACAAAGAAGAAATCGAAAATATTCTTACGATTTAATTCGACACAAAAAAGTTCTGCTAATTGTCGAGATGTTTGTGCATTTTTATTTTGTGTTACAAGTAAATCAATAAGACTATCATGGTGTTCTTCGAGAATATCATCACACTAAATGAATAAAAGTGTAAAATGAAATATAATAACAAGGTCTATTGATTTATACAATAATCTTCGAGGAAATAAATAAATAAATAAATAAATAAATAAATAAATAAATAGATATTTATTTTTTCTAATAAAGATTAATAGAAATAATAAAAACAACTTGATATTCAAACGTTTTTTTTTTGTTTTATTTTCAAAATCTGTTGTATTAATTCATATCAGTTGCGTGACATATTTATCTATTTCTATTTTTATTGACGAATAATTCATTGAAATAAAAGATAATCATTCTTTTCATACAAGGAATTATTATTAATTTTCTTATTTAAATATAAAATTAAAAAAATAAGTCAATATCTTCTCATTTTTTTTTTTATTGCTTATGGACAGATGGAAATGATTTTTCATTATTTTATCATCATTTTTTTGTTCTCTCTCTTGCTTCGCACGCGTTTACAATCATCATTTGGACACGACTAATATTGACACATTGTCTTCATTTACTCGAGTTTTCTTCTTTTTTTTTTTTTTTTGACGTCAATCTCGTTCTTTCTATTTTATTTGAACAAAAAAAAAGGCACGAGACACAGAGAGAGAGAACGACAGATATTTGTCCACTTTTAATTATACGACTACAAGCCGAGAAAGAAATGTCAACAAAGCAAGTCTCATATATATTTTTTTTTTTTTGATGGTGCCTACCTAATAAATATGCTCAATCGATTCAATAGAGAATGAATGAAGTCACAATTCAGGAAACGGATGTTCAAAAGCAAACATAGTATAGTGAAGATTAGAGAAATAAAAACCTTCAACTGAACTTCTTATTTTTGAATATAGAATTCAATGTTTTATCTTTTAGAATTTTCAGATTTAAAAGTTGATGTAATTTCTTAATTTCGATAGAAATATAATGAAGAGAAGACAATTTTAGAATGACTCTTTGTTTTGAATAGAAATAAAAGTAAAATTAGAACTTAGTAGCATATATAATACTTGAAATGATCGAAGGCAATCATCTTAAAATTGATTTGAGAAATAAAATAAATGTGATCATTTGTGTTATTATTTTATTTATTATAAAGTTGATTGAGAATAGAAAAAATTAATATGATGAATCTCGAAATGAAAAATGAATCTTGATGATAAGATTTTCCCATTCAAGAATAAACTTGATCGAACTAATTGATAGTATCTTACAACATCTTATTTGAATGATCATCAACAAAAAAAAAGAAAAGATTTTTTTCAAAATTCTATAAAACTTACTGCATGTTCATAAATATTTTTGAGTGAACCTGGTATTACTTCTCGAGCTACGTAAAAAGAAAATAATTAATTTAAATATTTTCTCTTTTAAACAATTTACCATCATTAATAAATTTTGAACAAAGATTTTCTAGAACATTTTCCGGATGATATCTCGTTTCAATAATCGGGACCTTTTAATACAAAAATCTTATGGATAAATTAGAAAAAAAAAATTCATATTACATCTTTTAATTTTTGATGTCCATGACCATCAACACGATATGATCCAACTTGAACACGTTCATTTGGATCAGCATTATTCATATCACGAAATATTGTTTCACTCATTGATTTACATGCTAAAAGAAAAAAATAAAATAAAACAACAAATAAATTTTATTTTCATACCTGAACAATAAAAATCTTGTTTTTTTCTTCTATTATTATTATTATTATTATTATTATCAGCTGATGATGTTTCTTGATTTTTAACTAATTGTATAAATATAAAGAAGAGAATACATAAAATATATACAGAAGAATTCATCTGAAAAAAGAAAAACATCAAGCAAGAATTGATTTCATATATAATAGAATAAAGAAGAATATTTTAATTTTTATTCATGCTAACAATTTTATATTGAACACCATTAATAATTACAATAGCTCCATCAAGACTGTTTGGATCAAGTTGTGTATCTGATGATGTAGTAACATTTGTTTTATCTTCATCTGTATTTATTTTTAATATAGGTTTAGATGTATTTTGTTTTGATTCTTCAATTGGTTTTGGTTGTATTGAAGATGTTAAAGTTGAATTTGAAGTTGAATTTATTTGAGATGATAAAGCTTCATTAATAGAAATTCCTGTATGTTGTTTAAATAAATCTTGTAATTGTTCGTATTCTTGTTTGAGTATTCGTATACGTTCACTTAATTCTTGATTTTCTTCTTCTAATTGATTTATTGATTCCATTGTTTCATCACGTTCACGACGAGATTTTTCACGAGATTTTTTAACACTATCATTATTTTTTGAACGTAATTGATTATAACGTGGATCTGTACGTGGAACAGAACGACGTTGCATTGTTTCTTTTTTTTTGGTTTTTGATTTTTATCAAGTCACAATTAATAGACAATGTTGAAATAGATAACAATATGATGGATGAGTTATGTCAAAAAAAGAAAAAGTATATTTATTGGATGTGGTTTCTTTTTTTCAAATAAAGTTTGTTCTTGTGATTATGGATATGTAAGTATTAGTTTTAGTTTAAAGTAAAAAAATAATTGTATATGAGAATTGGATGATGACAGACTAGATTTGTATTGGTTTATTGGGAAGTATTTTCTTGTTGAGCCATTTGTACGAATAGAATTTGCTTTGGTTTTTAAATGTCTCTTTATTGATAAATATTGTCTGATATTGAAATATTATTTCTATTTATTTTTCAATTCATTCGATCAAATATTAATGAGATTAGTTTTCGAAAGAGTATTCATAATTTAGTGACATCTCTCAAATGTTATGTCATTTTAATCAATTTCTGTAGCTTGAAAGTCGAAAAATCATTACCATCTACAAGTGTATACAATAATTTACATGATGTAGAATCATTATCACATTCAAAAGTACCATCTCGTAGTATGTCAACTATCGGTTTTATGAATTCTCATCAAATGGAGAATCCACTAGTGAAACAGTAAGTTTAATTTTTTTTTTCATCGAATATTTTTCGTAGCATGTTGTACATAGACCTACGGTAAGCTTAGTTTTGCCACCATCAATGACAGAATCATCAATCGAACAAACGAAAACATTCGATGATACAAAAAAATCATTATTAATTCAATTCAATGAACAGGAAAATAAAGAGTATGAATATCTATTGTTAAATGCAAAAAAAAATAATATCATTTATAGAGATGAAAATTTACTATTAGAAGGATCTTATGATTCGTGTATATGTTGGATATTTCATAAATTAATACGATTAATTTGTATGGCTTTATTTACGTGTCTTATTGGTATGTTTATCTTTACTTTAATTTTCTATGCTTTTGATATTTATTGGCTTGAACAACCGATTATTAATAATTCATCATGGTGGTGGTGGTTCAATGATAATAATAATAGTAATACTAATTTTACTAGATTTGATTCTGATATGATTAGTATAACACAAACAATTAATTATGATGATGATTACTGAATTTCTTATATCATTATATAACTTTTTTTTTTGGTTTGTTTGTTTTTCTTTCTTTTATTTATCTTTTGAATAATAAAAATATCTTGTCACATGTTCAATATACTTTTATGAAACATTCCAATGATAAATAACATCTGTAAAAATCGAAGTATGAGATTTATATATTAAATAAAAGTTGAAGAATTTCTAAAATTATTATGATGTGAATAATTCGTTTTTTCATGTTTTCAGTTTTTTATTATGAATAAAAAAATTGTTTGCATCTGATATTAATTAAGCAAAAATCATGTTTCAGTTAAATGTTAATTGAAAGACAAAAAAAAATGTTCACATAGAAATTATCCTAATTAAATAAATATTGTTAGAATTTTGAGTTGTCATTATTGTAATGATCGACATCAGGAAAATCAAGACCAATGGTACCAAAATTGATGATTACAACATTGATATCTAAAGAACGTAAATCAGCCATTATTTGTCGATGTAATTCCTTTAATGTTTTAATACTTTTATTATCTTCACTATTAGAAAAAAAATTCGAATGACTTTATGCATAATCTTTCATAATTTGAAGTGCCTTATATCTTTTTGTTGAATAATATTGAGGAAGTAATTTATTCTTATATTTATTTTGAACTACATTCAAACAAAATGAATACTCAAGAATGAACTACATCTAACTGTTAAATATTAATATAAAAGAAAAAGTTATTTTTAAATGATATATCAAAAACAAAAAAAAAAAGAAAAAGAAATTATTAAACTTGTGAACAAACTTTAACATAAGCATCGTTTATTTTTTGAAAATCTGTACATTGTGAATTTTTTTCACTTATCTTTATGTTTATATGGTCGGATGGTAACACATGTCGATAAATTTGTAGTGCTTTTTCATGATATTCTTGAGCTTGTTCTATTTTTCCATCATAAAGATAGACAAAAGCCATACATGACCAACAATACGCTATATAAGGATGATATTTTGGTAAACTTCGATGAAAAATTGATTCAGCTTGTTGATAATAATCCAATGCTATATTCATTTGTTTTCGTTTACGAAATACATCACCTATATCATTAAGTGTAACACCAATTCGAGGATGATCAGTAGGTAAATGTAGACGTTCAATTTCTAATGTTTTTTTATTAAATAATTCAGCTTTATCTAATTGATTTTTTTCAAGATAACAATCAGCTAGAAGACTACATGTTTGTGCATTAATTAAATGATTTAAATCTAATTGATCTGGAGCAAGATTAAGAGCTGTTTGATAATGAATAATAGCTTCATCTAATTCACCATTATGATGATGAATCCATCCAAGTGCATTTTCTATACGAGCAAGATCAAGATTATTTGTATTATTTATTTTATAAAATTGATAAATTTGTTTTAAAAGATTTTCAGCTTGAATCAAATCATATTGATAAGCATAAGTTAAAGCTAAATGATAATGTATACGAGGTAAATCTGGATCATTTTCTTTTGAATATTCAAGTAAATCAAGAAAATATTTTTGTGCTAAAATATATTTTCCCATTTGAAGAAAAAGTTGTCCAAATATAATTGAAATATTTGTATCTGTTAATTCTTGATGAATTAATTCAATATAATCATGTATTGCACTTATACCAGCTTCTGTAGCTTTCATATAAACATTCCAAATTTTTTCATTAGAATCTAATAGAATTTTATCAAGATAAAAAACAGTTCCTATATTAAATAAAACTTCTTCTTCATCTTGTAATGCACTTAATTCTTTTATATAAGCACATATAATATAATCAGATTGAATATCAATTTCAATAATAAATAAAATTTTTTCAAGATTTTCTGTTCTTGATGATTTTTTTCGTAAAAATTCTATAGCTACAGATTGATTTATACTTGTTGAAACAAATCCATTTAAACTTGTTAAATTTCCAATTGTTCTAAATAAATCATCTAATTCTTCACGTGAAATTTGTGCACCACGATAAACTGTTAAAATTGGTGATTGATTTTGTTTTCTACGTAATTTTTCATATTCAATTTTTAATTGTCGACATAAATCAGCAATAAAAAATCTAAATATATATAATGCTTCAATATCTTCAGTACGTAATGATCTATTAAGAAGACGATAAACAAATGATTCTTTTGTATACCAATGAATAGCATCTTTACTTGTATAAGTTTGACGAAATTCTTCAATTTCTAATAAACTTTTTGTTGGATTTCTATCTTTTTGTAATTGTTTTGAACAATAATTAAGCATTGTATTCATATCATTTTCTGTACATTTTAAATCATTTATTATTATTTGAAATAATTGAAACCAAAGAAATGAAGCAGAATCATTTGTTAAATCTCTTGTTGTATTTTGTTTTTGTGCAAAAAAATGAAAAACTAATTTTAATTCATCATGTTCTTCAATTTGTTTATTAATAGAATTATATAAATCATCAATATTCGTACAAATATTAATAATAAATGATTCATATTCTTTTATTAATTCTACATATTTTGTTGAATCCATAGAGAAAATAAAAATTGAATTAACTATTGATAAAGATTTCAATTCAGGTAAAATTTCTAAATTAAATTCATCAGATAGAATAAGAAAGATTTTTGAAGATTGAATATTTTCAACGGATGATATAGATTTTAAAAAATCAAGACATAAATTAACATCATTATAGACTCGAATCGAAGCTACATTCAATTGACGTAAATAATGAAGAATATTTTTTTCATTATTTGAAAAAGATTTATATGGTGGTGAATCAAGCCATACAAGTATTATACCATTAGGTAAAGATTCATTTGATTGTTCTTGCTCAGTTGATGAAGATGAAAGAGAATTTTTATCTTCCGACGATCTTGATTTTAATCGTCTATAAGATGCAATACCCATTTTATTTTAAATCTAAAATTTATTATAATGGCGAATAAGATTAATATATATATATATGTATTGAGACATGTCAAATGATATTTGAAATAGAAACAAAAAAACCAAATAAGACAAATAATAAATATAATCAATTCTAAGTTTTATACAATGTTAGTTTCGATTTCATGATATAATACAACATCCAACTAATTCTGTTCGATTCTTTTTCTTTGATTCTTGTTTTTCTTCAGTATTACTTTCCAATGAAGGATTTTCATTATTTTGTGTTCTAGAAAAGAAAAAACCAAGAAATTCTAATAATAATATTAAAGGTATCTTTCCCTTTTTCCTGATCTCAAAAATTTACTTTTTTTTTTTCATTTTAGATTTTTTTATATTTAAAAAAAATATTCAAGTGTTCTCTATCGAATGGCATATGAACGAAAACTTTTCATATTTATAAAGATCGTTAAAAAAACTGACTTTAGAGATCCTCTATACAAAACATCATGTTCTATAGCTCTTTCGTGTTGTAAATGATCTATATTAATATAGTTATTTCATCATCAGAATGTGTTGTGTAGGTCTGCGATACATATTCTTAGCCATTTTGCAAGTGCATTAATTGATAGAAATGAAAAACATGAAATATCCAAAAAAATCTCGTTTTATATTGTTTCGTGTTTTTCTCAAAATCAACTTTTTTTAGAGAAAAATTGAACTTTTCTGACTTTTTCTTCGAGACGCTTCGACCACTTGAACTGAAATTTTTTGTGTGACAACTAGGACCAAACTGTGCTATCTCTATCTTATAGAAGGAAGCATTTGGAAGTTCTGAGTCTATAATAACTTTTACTCTACTAGTCGAGATCTATCTACTCTGAAAGTTTCATCATTTTTGGTCGATCCATTCTTGAGAAACTCGGGCAAAGGGGATGCCCTTAAATGACGAGGACATTAAATGTAAGAAAGATTGCTTTATCTCCTGTATGAATATGCATTTCTCAGAATAATTTTATACAAAAGAAATATACAGGGTAGGTCATAAATAGCATTACGATAAAAAATCCAAATATTTTCGCTTCAGTTCGCTCGAATGAGCGGATTGTTTGATTGATGGTTGAAATTTATTTAAAAGTTTTTTTTTTTTCATACGGATAATGGAAACAAATACTACTGTCAAGTTTTAGTTTTGGCCTTACTAAAGAAATTTCACCTATTATCAAGTAAGAAAAATACATATGAGATCTCTCATAGATAGTTTTCTGTTGTCATCTAAGAGAATAATACTAACAAATCAAAACGAACTATATTAATGCATATAGATCGTTTTGATTTCTTCTTACTTGATAATAAGTAAAATTATTTTCATGATACCAAGCAAATAACACATAGTCATATTATTTGCTTAGCTCATTCGTACAAAAAAAATCCCACTAATTTGATTGAGCCTATGCGAAGATATTTCATTTTAAGTATCAATGAATCAGAAATATATATATTTGATATAATATATGGTATGTTCGATATTTAATTATGAAATGCTTAAGAGAAAAAATATTTGAATACATACGGTGTTGTTGGTAATTGTTGATCAGAATTATTAACATCTGATTCGATTTTTACCATTGTTTTTAGTTGTGGAATGATAACACTAAAAAATGTAATTGTACAATAGAAGAAAAAACAAAACAAATTTTTTCAATGTGAAATTTTAATTACGAAACAGTATCTAAAAATTCAAAACCGGCATATAATGTTGGATCATATCCATATTTCGTTGCTACATCATCATCGTTCATAAATTTTGCACCATTTTTTAGATAAAATTGTAAAGCTGGTCGATTAGCTCGTCGACATAAACCCCAATAATGAGTATTTGGTGGATAAATTTTACGTAAATGTTGTAATAATTGAACTCCATAACCTCGTCGTTTAATATCAAGACGAACAGCTACTTGAGCAATATATATTGATCCTTCACCTTCATCTTTTAATGTTAAAAATCCTAAAACATTTTCTTTTGAATCTTGATATTCATCACTACATAAAATAAAACAACGATATGTTCCAGATAGAATAGAATTTTTTTCATCATCAAATGTTTCATCAAGCCATTCTTTAAGAGTTTTATCAGATTTTAAATTTAATTGAGCTTCAATTTGTTTATAATATTCATCAAATGAACGTATAAATAAATTACGAAGACTTAATAATATTGGATCATCAATAGATATTGGTTTAAATTCTTGTACATTAACATGAATTGCTTCAATCGAAGGTAAACATGTTGGAAGAACAGGAGTATTATTAACTTTTTCATCTTAGAATTAATAAAATTCTATTAATTTATATTTGATAAATTGTTTACCTTCTTGAAAATTTTCAATTTTTTCTTGTTTTTGTTCATATTTTTTCAATGCATCATTCCATTGGAGGAGATCTTTTGTGTCTTCTAATTCATTAATATTTTCTTGTTCGGAACTACTCATTGATTTTGTTCGAGAATTTGTTTCATCAAGATTTTCATCAATCATATTAGCAATATCCATGACTATGTAAAAACAAACAAAAAATTATAATCATTAAAATGAATTTTTTGAGAAAAATAAAAGTACTATCAGGAAAACGAGATAAATTTGATCGTATTAGTGTTGTTTCTTCATTATCAGTTTTTATAATGGGAAGAGATTCAGTATATCTTGCTGAAGATAAGTTATCACATTTAATATGATTTTTTGAATTGAATGAGCCTTTTAAAAAAATGTGAAAATTATTTTTCTTGTGATGAATTTGATTTTCAACCTGATATAGAATTTTGTAACGAATTTTTTATTGTTAATGTATTTTCATTTGCAATTGTTGTATTCATTGCTAAACGTTGATTTTTTTTTCTTACTTTAGTCAATCTGAAAATATGGTAATCAAATATTCATTTTTATTTTTTTGTGTTTTAAATAATTTACATATAACGAGGGATCAAAAAGGTTTTTAGAAGAGATGTTTGTTCACTTGTGACCTGTTAGAAAATATTTTTGATGAGTCAAAAATTATAGGTTGCAACCAATATTTTGTAATTTTTTCGAATCTGGACTTATAAATGTCGTGTCTATTTTTATTTGAGAGTAGTGTAGGGCTTTTAGAAAGATATGAAAAATTATTGTTAATAGTGAAGCAACAGGTCTTCATTTACTCTATAAGCTCGCCGCTTTTCGAAGATGCTAAAAATTATCGGAGTCGGTCATTTTGTAGAGCTGACACTTTTTTTTGTACAAAATCTGGTATTGAACTAAGCTGTAGCTTTTATTCAAGAGTTTCTGGCAACGTAAAACGGTTTTTGATCAATAAGTTGATCCTTCAAAAATGAGCATTTATGAAAAATGAAAATTGAGCTGCCTTGTCCAAAGACAAAAACAAAGACTTCAATAGTGCATTTTGTAGGATTATCTCTTATTTACAAGCCGACATATAAGTAAAGATCCGAACTTTTTAGTTTTGAGTTATATTAGTGAAAATACAAAGATGTGAGGAAAAATTTTCCGCCCAAATTAATTTTTTGGACTTTTCAAAGATTATTTCATTATTCTTGAACAAATATTAAGACCAAATTTCTAAGCTCATATTCAAAAAGAGTACAAAATTCTAGTTCTAACTCATAACATTTGCCTTATCGGAAATATATTCTAGTGAACAAACATTTGCTCTCGAAACTTTTCAATCGCCTATTATAAAGCCAAATATGATGCTACTTGCTTGTTTCAATGATATACTTCAATAAAAATGTATCTTGAAGGTAATATACAATTACAAAACGAAATACTAACGCACAACATATGTGCCTACTCTATACAGGTTAATGTGTTTTTTATGATTGTCGTCCTTGCACGTGACAACAAACAATATAAATACACAAAAACAAATTATTTATATTTATTTTTAGTTTATATATCAATCGATTTGAAATGACATGAAATTATGAATAGAATAAAAAGTTTCGAAAAATAATTTTGTTTTTGATTTCTAAATGAACATGATGATTCAATATCAAAATCAAAATATGTATCTGGAAATGGTTCATTTTTAAGTGTATAATGCCACCATTCTTGATCATAATTAATAAAACCAGCTTGTTCCATTAGATTTTTTAACATTAGGCGTTTTTCTTGATAAATTTTGTTAACAAGTGTACTATTTGTATGTGATGCATCATCAAATAAATCAAATGATGAACCCATATCAATTGTACCATCATCTAAATAGAATATTGTTGAATTATCCGTTAAATTTCTTTCAATTGGTTTTAAAGGAATTTGTACATATTTTCCGAGTAAAATTAAAGTTAAATCAATTGTACTTCCTCTTGTATGACCAGATTTTTCAGCAATATAACCAAATTTAAATAAATCTTCTTTATTAATATGTGGATAATAGAATTTTTTTTTAATTTGTGAATCATTTAAATTTTGACTCCAATTTACAAATTGATTAACACTTTTTTGTGGACGATATCCATCATAAATAACTAATTCATAACCATTTTTTTTTGCTAATAACTGTGCTTGTTTTAAACCAATAGCTGCTGCTTCAGTTATTATTGATACATTTGATAAATAACCATTAATAATATGTCCTATAAAATTTTCTTCACTTGCATAACGTAAACTTATTTGTATATCTGGTATAACATCATGTACATAGACAAAACCTAATGGTAATCTATTAGATAAACGTGTCCAACAATGAAAACAGATAAGAAGAGCAAAAATAAGTATTATTCCTGATAATAATGACATTAGTCTGTTTTTTTGTTCGATGATATTTAACGTTATTGTTATATATCATTTGATCAACTGAACGATAAGCCTATATATTTTAGAATCAATATTTGGTTAAAACATCGATACACTTTTTCAAAAAAAAAACAAAAAAAAAGAATACTTACGAATTTTCAGCTTCGTTGGTTATTACTATAAAGATAACGTGTAGTGTATATGTTGAAAACCATGTGCTCTGTCTTATTTTTTCATTCTGTATTGATTATTTCCTTTTTTCTTTTCGTCAAGTAAAAGTACTCTGCTTGTTGATCAAAGGTGACTACAGAACAGAATTTAGTTTGACTTCAAGAGAAAGACATGTTCTATCCAATGGTATACATATTATCAAACTTTGTTATCTACCGCGAGAGAATGAATGTTGATTTGGTTTTATACAATTTCAATATTACAGAATTAGATATAGGATATTTTTCCTCTAAAAACTTCGTTCTATAATTAAGAACAACTATGAAACTTACACTCGCTTTGATTTTGTACGATTGCCATGACGTATAAACAAAAATATATTGATAGAAACTTTTGTTAACAAATATACTAAACAAACCAATCATTTTTGAAAGGGGACAAATTAAATGTTCAATAAAATTTGTTCAGTATTGTATGAGAATTTTCAGTAAAGAAATCAAACTATCAGTATAAAATTCAATGTTCAGTTAACTAATTGTTTGGTCAGTAAACTAATAAATTGCTCTGTATTAAAATTAAAGTTTCAGTAATTAATTCAGTTTGCTGATTCAAAAATTCATTTACTCAGTAACAAGTAATATTTTTATCAGTAATCACTTTTATTTTTTCGATGAAAATATTTTGATGTAAATAGAAGAATGGGTCCATGTTGGCTGATGATGACATCATCAGGCAAAACATTTTTTCTACTTTCCTGTCCTTTCCTTCGCTTTAAACTAGTAGATAAATTAAAATGGTTAGATGGTGTGTGCAATTGTTCACCATTTTTCAAAAAGTTTATTTGTAAACATGTTGTTGGTATGGCATTCCGATTAAACTACTGCAAAACGCCACCTGCTGCTAAAAATGTTAAAATAGGTGAAAAAAGACGTCGTGGTAGCCCAACAAAATCCAAAAAGGCGTTATTGATTCAATAAATTTCTGTTGATAAAAATTATACTTTTTTTACTGAAATAAATTATTAAAAAACTGAGCAAAAAAAAAATTAACTACTGGATCTTTTTAAATTAATTACTGGACTTTATAAATTGTTCATTGAACTTCTTGAATTATTTACTGTACAAATAATAATTTTTTACTGAATAAGAACTACTGAACGTGTGATAAAAAATTTACTGAACATTCATAATAAAATACTGAACAATTAAATACAAACCTTTTTGAAATGCGTAGTTATTTTCTTTTCATACGTTGGAAGTGAAAGGATCACATCATGTCCATGCGAATACCTACATTTCTTTTGTGTTTTCAATCTATTTTAGCAAAGATTTGCAAAAAAAACTTCTAGTAAAGAACTTCATATCTAGGATTAGTTTTTTTTTTATTTCGAAAGAAACTATTAAAGTATATTAGAAGTTGATGATAATGTTCAAGTGAATTTTGTTGAACGAAAATAAAAAAAAATATGTTAAGATTATTTTAATAATATCAGAAAGATTGCAAATATATTATTCAATCATACGAATACGAAATTAATAGTTGTTGCAAAAACTTCATCATGAATTTTTGAATAGTATTTAAAGCAGAATTATCTTAAATAGACAATCATTTATGTATGATGTTGTACTAAAATAAAAGTTGCTTATTACTTAAAATAACTGTATGAAATTATATTCACAATATATAAGAAAAGAATGGATCGTTAATGTCAAAACAACCAATTATGCATATGCAAAGAAAGCAAAAACAATTTCAACAGTTACAGAAACTATATATCATTGAGATCTTCTTTTTCATTTATTGATATTCTATTCGCTTTTATTGATCTCAATAAAAGAGTTCAATGAACTTAAATACACCACATTAATTCAGAATGTATTTTATTGAAGAAGTTGTATTTTTTTTTAATTAAAAATCTAAATTCCACATTTATACATAATATTCCGTATTCTTACTCTATTCCAAAAAAGAATGGACTGGATTGTTTGTTGAATAACTTTACAATGCGTATAGCTATCGAGCTCGGGTTTCCGCCATTAGAAAGAGCATGAATGGAGGGTACAAGTCTATTTGAGAATCAAAATACTTGAAAAGTTTTCTAGAGGATTTCAGAAATTTTTTGGAAAATCACTATTTGATTCTCTTGATTAAGTATAATTTAAAGTGAAATTGAAAATCCAATATTTCGAAAACGAAACATACTTTTTGGCTAAAACTTTTAGGATGTTCTATGGGCAAATTTTCAGGTCAAAATTCCGTAATTTCGTTTTCTGGTAAATACTTAGGAAAAGGTCGAAAATGCCTAAAAATTTCGGAATTTATAAAGTAAACATTAAACTACAATATAGCTAAATTGAAATGAAAAATACAGCTAATCAGACAGTGATTTTCCAAAAAATTCCTAGAATCTCCTAAAAAACTTTTCAAATATTTTGATTCCCAGGTAGACTTGTTCCACCACTTATGCTCTTTCGAAAGGCTAAAATCCGAGCTCGATAACTATCAACATTGCCGAGTTATTCAACAAACAACCGAGTTCATTCTTTTTTGAAATGGATAATAGTTAATGAAGAATGAACTAATGAAATCTTAATTTGGAAGGCACGAATTTGAACTCAATTACAGAAATCACTAATTGCTTCATTCAATGAGACTAATTTGGATATTTGTTTAAACCATATTATTCTCCTAGCGTTTGAAAACGTACATACTGGTAGAGAATCTATTAGAGCTTGTCGGGTCCAACATTATTCAGCCCGAAACTAAACCATACTCTTAACTACAGCAAAATATTTTAGTTTAAGTCTAATATGTCTCTGAATTCTGCTATTAATATACCATACACATTTCTCAGATGATCTTATAATAATTAAGTCATCATTGGCTATTACTTTTCGAGTATAGTCCATTGGATCGAAACCCGATGGGCTCTAGAAGCCATAGAATAGAAAGCCTGATTGCCTATAACAATGAGAATTTCATGGCGCATATTACAAAAGTAGTTTCTGGAATTTCAAGTCTAATAATTATCGTGAAATGTTTATCATGTCTACATTATTTCGAAAGTTACGTGTCGTATGAGGATCGACTTATGTATAGAACTAACAGACGTACATATGCTTAATGTCCGTGAATTTTATTTATATAATTGTATTTGGTTGACAGTTGTTGTAATGACGCAGTACTTATCTTCAACACTAGAGCGCTTTATCTTTGAGAAAAAAACAGATGTGTAATCAAACTGGTTTGATGGAAGTACGTGGGCACAATTAATTTCAACTCATCTTCAATTATTTATAATCGATCTTCGAAGTTTATTAGAATAACATGTTTTTTATTATCTTTGTACATCTCCGCAATGAATAAAACAATTCTGAATTCATAAGAAACATGTCTTCATCGTGATATCAGACGATAATTAGCCTTTTACTATATAAAAAAATTTAATTTTTTTTAAATGTTTTTCAAAAATCATGTATACAAGTCTAGTATGTTAATAAATGTAAGTTGTTTTCTTTTGACTATCAATAATTATTACATACTCTGACATTGAACTATTATAATAATTAAAAAATAGCTAGTGATTTCGCATGAGTCAAGTACCGTTGATACGATCTTGTCTTTTTGTAATTATGCTAATGTACCTTATAAAAAAAAAACCGAGTGTTTACTGTAAGTTTTACTCAATTTTACTAATATCATTGTTTTTTTTTGTTCTTCTATTTTAAACAAAAAGAAAAGTGAATGAAGAGAAATTATACATACAAGAAAAAAAACCTAGTTGTTTAAAGTTTAAAGTAAAAAAACAAATGTTCTCATTAAAATATACAATTAGTGTATTTTCACGGATATTTTTTTTTTCGGGATTTTTATATGACTCTAAATTGGCGTTGATTCTAAAATTCAACGTATATACAAGTATTTCATTGGTGATATTTCACAGAAGGAAAATGTCGTCATGACATTTTTTTATTTATTTGTAGTACAAAAAAATATTCTTCTTTCTGGATAATTTAAAAATACTAGCGCTCTTGAAGATGTTATTTTTGTCGAGTCAATTTAATTTATCATAAAGAATGTAATTATTTAAATTACAAATCATATTTGAGTGAAATACAATAACATAATATAAAGATGTTTCGTGAAAAAATATTTGCTTAAGATCATTTAGAATGCCTGGAAATACATACATATATAGAAATAATATGATTATTTCATAAATATTGAATTACCAAATGTTTCTATAACTTGCCTCGCTTTTTTTTTGCTTGATATCTACAAATAAATATTGTGAAAAGTACATAGAAAAAACGACAAATTTGGAGGATGTATAGTTCAAATGCAAGGTCAAAAGGGAGGAATTTTCCTCTGTACTATTCTGATCGATTTTTAATAATTAGAAGATGTTTATTGCAACTATGGGGAAAAAAAAAACTAAATTGTTATTTATTTGATATTTGCTTTGTCTTTTTCTAAGATAGCACATTGAAGAGATCACAGCTCTTATTCATTCAAAATTATCATTAATTATTAAAAACAAAATTAGAATTTATACTAAAAAATATTAAAGTAGATATTATATAATTGATTGACAGATAAAAGTTCATTACTAAAAATAATTTCATTTAGAATTATACGAAATCTGACATTGTAGCATCGCTTTATGATAATATATGAATATATAGAAACTTAAAAACACAATTTATATAGGATTTTCCTAATTATATTGAATATAATTTGTCGCTCAGGAAAGTTTTCTAGAAATCTCAGTGTTTAAAATATAAAGGAAAAAAATTTCATTATAACACAAATTAATCGTTTTAATGAAACTGCAAAACAAGTGATATACGTGCCATATTGAAGTTAGTATTTCGATAGAAAAGTTTGTTGAAGTTAATTTAGATCACCTAGATAACAAATAAAAATCAATTGATTGATGATGTTTTTTTTCAAAATATTAAGTTAAATATTTATATAATATTTAAGAATATGACAAAGTCCAATTCTAATAATACTTTCTATATTTGATATTAGATTGAGACGACGTTATTTAATATCAATAAATAGAATTACTTGTCGAAATTTTTTATTACAGTTTGAAGCATCACTTCAATTCACATTGAATATAAAAAAAAAACATTGTTCTCAGATGAATATTTATAAGATCAAGATCGAATTAAAGTTAATCAATGATTCGTCTGACTTGATTTAACTCAAAGAAAATCAGAATTCAAAAACTAAACAATAAACATTCGTGTATTCTCTATTTAATATTCATATGAATAACAAGACTTGAAATCAAATCAAACTCTCACAAAACCAAATAAGTGAGACTTTCATTCTTTAATACAGATGATTTTCTTTACAATGCATTAAACTGATGTATGAAAGTATTATAAAGTTTTTCGATAACCAGTTTTATTCATTGATATTACCTAATGCACATTTCAAAACAAAACAAAGTGGATGAATATTTTTCGAATAACTTTTGATATGAACGAGATAGAGAGCTGTGATTTCTACCATTGAAGAGAAAAGATGAAGATACATTGAATCATATATTATTGATTTTTTTTCTTAATTAATTTTCTAAAAAACGTGATTTTTTTCACAGAACTCGATAGAAAAATTTGACTCAGAATTTCCAGTAGAATATCTATAACTCCCAAAAGAATAACTCTAAAGGTCTGAGCCCTACGCAGTTTTGTAGATCTTTGATTAACGATTCGAATGCATATCTGATTATTGAAAATTTACTTTAGTCATCTTACGAAGTACGTTGTTTTTCAAAGACGTCGGTTTAAGTCTTTGAAAAAACCTAGATCAAATTATCCTATAATATACAGTTCGATGCGTCTCCATCCCCGCTTTTCAACAGTGACAATTACAGTTCTCTATCTCGTTTTTATCAAATGTTATGGGAAAAATACCTACCCACCAACATAACTTTAAGATACTATATATATATATTCTGCCTACTGCCATCTGTTAACTGTGTTATCAACACTACTGATAATATTTATAGCAATATGTGATTCAGTTTGTTGTTTTTTTAAAGATATGTGACTCATCATAAAAGACACATTTTTTTGTAAAACTATATAAATATAAGAAAAATGTTTGAGAAAGAGAAGATTATGTGATATATGTAAAAATAAAACAAAATATAGGATATCATATGATATATATCACTGTCAATAATATTGTAATTCAGTTATCAACCAGATGATATGATCGAAAATTTTCCTATAACATAATACTAGTAGGAGAAACAAGTGACTTGCAACTAATTTTCTTTTTATAATAATGATCCTTGTGTATGATGTTTACCACTTAAAAAAATAATGTTTTCTATTTAAAGATATATGTTTTTGTTTTTCATTAATTTTCCAGTTATTTGAGTATTAACAATTTATTTTGTTAAAATAAATGAAACAACAGAACATTCTGTGATAATTTACTAAATAATAATCAGCATACGTATAAAAACAAATAACAAAAAAAAAGTGGGAGTTTTTTTTTCATAAAAAATTGACTTATAAATATTAATCTATATATTTAAATGGATTACACGGTAAAAAGAACATTTTAACTGAGGGTGAAATAACAAAACGTTGTATTTAACTACGTCATCGTCCATAATTCCATAAAACTACGTGACATAAAACTAGAAAAATATAAATCTAACTCATCAAATTAACCTAATAATAAAATGACAAAAGTATGCGGCTTTTTTCCTAATGAGAAAGGACAAATATGTCAATATTTTTATTTTTCAGTAATAAACCAGGATAACATAAGCGTGTTTCTTCCTTTTATTTTATATTAAGCTTTTATGTTAATTAGAAAAAAAAAAAGAAAAGCTCTTTTATTCATTTAAGCAATAAAAAAAAGTCTCACAAATATTTATATTTTGAAAAACTAAAACAAAAAAAAAATGATTCAAATATAGTTTTAATTCTTCTCTTAATTAATTTGATTCTTAACAAAAAAAAACAAACAAACAAATATTGTCAAATAAAAATAGATCGAAAAGAATATTATCATTGACATATAATGATATTCCCTTAAAGCTATTGACCTGTTCTTTATAAACTAATGTCGATTTATTCATTTTATTATTGAATAGGAAATTTCAATTTATAAAAGTCATTTAAATGTATTTGACATTCAATATAAAATTTAATATCATTAAATAGAAGTTGTTTTTATAAACGACACAATAAATTGCTTTTTTTTCCCATTTAATAAACTTTTTCACAAGAACAAAAAATGTCCTTTTTTTTCTAATAATCATACTTTAATTTCTATGAAGAACAATAATAACAGATTTTATTAAGTGTACTTATGTCCAAAGGTTACTGTCAACAGTTAAACGGAATCTTTCTTTAATAATATGGCATAGATATTTTTTTAAAATAACATGACATTGTTCAAAAAATCAAGGAAATCAGTTGTTTATCTTGAAGAAGTTCTTCATCTTTATGCAAACAAGTATTACACTTAATTTAATTTGGTTCAATTTTTAAATTAGATTTCATTTCATAGAATACTTATTTATATAAAATTATCTCATAACTTATAAGAAATATGTGATGCACTAACAAGCTTGTTTTTTTTTTGAAGGATTTTGTTTAAACCGGGTCTCGTCTTGATTTATTGTCGTGTTTTTTTTTAAAAATATACAGACAATTACCGAAAGAAAAAAAAATATAATGATAGATTCCATAATTTTTTTTTCTAAAAATAAAATACAATTCTTTCTGTCTTTTTTTCGTTTATTGTCTTTAAATAGTCAATGTTGTTCTTTGTTTAATGTATGCCACATTGAAAATGATTTTCGAGCTTTAAATTGTTGCCAATGAATTGTACCATTACCAGAACAAAGTAATGGTGATCCAATTTTAACATGACCTATACATTTATATTCATTTGTATGATTTGCATTTGAATATAAATTAAACATAATCATTAAACGATCGAAATTATTTGAATTATATGTTACAATATTAAAATTATGTTCTTGATCAATAATAAAATTTGACGATTGTAATCGATAAGTTTTTGTTTGTTGTGTTAATAATGATCGATGACGATCGAGAAGAATAATTTGTAAATAACATTTTGCATCTAAAAGAAAAGTTTTGACATTTTTTTCATTTGAAAAAAAAAAGAATATAAAATACTAACCAAATTTTTTTTGATCAATTTTTAATCCTTTTATTCGTTGTAAACCAACATGTATATATTGATCATCATCATTTTTTTCAAGAGAAATTAAAAGTTCAATTGATGACTAAAATTTAAGAATAAAAAATAAATAATTAAATATCGATTTTTGTTTTTTTTTTATTTTTTTGTATTTACTGGTTTTATTTTTTCAATTGCATGAAGAAATTCAACACGATTTTCATTTTCAAATTGATTTATTTGATTAAAATTAATTTTTCCAATTTGACCAATATGTATTGTTTTTTTTGTTTGATCTTTTCCACTGATTGTCATTGATAAAATTCGTTCATTTAGTTTTTCAAATGGAATATTTGAAAATAAAAGAAAAAATTGATTATTTTCATCTTCAAATATTATTTGATTTTCTATTATTTTTTTAATTTGAATAGATTTTTCTTTTCCATCAGGTGTTAATTTAACTTTAATAGTTAATTGTTGAAAATGAATATTTAATGGTAATGATTGTATTGAATGAAATTGAATTTTAATTTGTGAAGTTTTTAAATAAATTATTGAAAATGAAAGTAAACATGGTAATGTTAAATTATTTGTTGTTATTATATTTTCTCTTGGTTCAATTATATTATTACATACAGCAACAGATCGACGTCGATATTTATCATTATTATTATTACGTATTGGAAGAGAAAATGGAATTAATGCCATTTGAGTTGCATCAACAATTGAACCTTGTCGTCGATTTGAACTACATGAACGAGGTGTTTGAAATAAAGTTGCTACCATACTAGTTGAACGTAATGGTGTTATTGGTACAATAATTGATTCAACTGATCTATGTTGTTTTTTTGAATCAAAATCATTATATTCCGAGTCATTTATTGTTGATGATGAACGATTACCACTTGAAAAACTTGTACGAAATGAAAAATCTTGATTTAATATTTTTGTTATTGTATCAAATGATGGTCTTAAAGAATATTTTATTTGTTGTTTTCCAGTGATTGATGTCATTGATGATGATCTCAGATTTTCTCGTGAACGTATAAATACATAAAAAATTAATGTTGAGACGAGACACACGGCTACTATAATACCAAATAATATGGATAAAATCATTTCGTTTCCTTTTATTTTCAATCAGAAAAGTATAACATCTAAAAAAAAAACGATAAATCAATGTTTATTTCTTTTTTGTTTTTTTTTTATAAATAATAATTCAATTTTCTATTAATCATCAAATAAAGGACATACTCACATAATCAATGAATAGATCTTCACTTAAGTAATAATAATAGAAAGTTCTTTAAGTTTGTAAACAGTCAATATAATAAATGTTTTCTAGTTAATATATCAAAATAAAAATTTTATGATGAATAAAAAGAAAAAGTGTATTTACAGATATATATATATATATATTAATCTGAATAAAACTAAATGCTTTTAACCATTTAATAATCAGTCTAAGGTCGTCCCGATATTGTTACAATAGTAGTAAGTCATGCATGGAAATTTTTACATGCGGCAATATTACTTCCTTCATCAAATATTGTATCTTATTTCTCATTTTTTTTCTATTAATAATAATTCCTAGTAGTCTTCCGTTGACGAAATCTTTACAAAAAAAAAATGTCAAATAAGTCTAAATATCAGGTAGGATAAAGAAAATAGAAAATGTCATAAAATTTACTCAGTAAATACAAAAACATTAATCAAAAATTTTCATATAAGTCATGAACATTATTATTTGCTTATCTTCTACTATGGAAAACACCAAGAAAAAAAAAGAAAACAAACTCTTTTTTCTTATTGAAATAATGAGAAATGTAACACAATGGAAGTAAATCTATTCTAAACATAAATTGGATAACAATTGAAACCTATTATGGTTGTGTTTGATTTAGTTTTTTTAATCCTAATAGAAAAAAAAAAAAGAGAAATTCCTCAAAATAACAAAGACATACAAAGAAGATATATGTATACTTACAAAGTTTTCATTTATTTATTGAGAATTTGAGATAATAAATGTGTATGAAGTTACTTTTTTCTATTCTATTAATTCATCCTCTCCCTCATGTCGTGTTTTTGGATTCCATTATCAGTCATAGTATCACATTCTTCCTCGGACTCCTACGATAAAAATGATTGTCTACATTGATTTTCATCTATTGAATTGAAAGAAGAATTTCATAAATTCATACTTGACATATATTTAGTAAGGAAATTATATTCTCAAAAACAATCATAGGTAGTTTTGACTTATATTCTAATATACTCAATAAAAAAATGCAAGCAACATCAATAAGAATAAATGAATATATGTGCATGCATTCTTTCATGATGAATGAACACGATATAGAAAGAACATAGAAAAAAAATGCAAAGAAGTCAAATAAAAGCTCTAATAGAAACAGTGGGAGGAAGGGAAAACGAAGAACTAGAAAGAGAATGAAAGAAAAGTAAGAACCAATGTGCTTTTATACGAATGAATAGAACAGCTGAACTACCTATTTTTTATTTTTTTTTACATAAGATAATAGCAAAAAAAAACAAAACATGTTTTCTAGAGTTCGCATGTTTTAACTTGTCAATTTATGTCTCTCGATTTTTTTTTAAACAAATATATTATTATTTAAATTCTCTAAAGATGATTCTATGCTGTGGGTGGAAGAAGAAAAAAAATCGATCATTCCGTTAAATGCAATTATGATGTTTTGCTACGAAAATAATGATGGAAGAGATCAATAGAAAATTATATCATGATTGTTCAATATGTAATATTGATAGAATTACTGACCAACAAGATTATTTTCGTCTCATTGTATTTACATAGTGCTGATACGCTAATAAATATATATTAAATTTAATTTTTCTATCTATCTCTAAACGAAAAAAAAGCAATTGAAGATATAGTAGCTTCTTTTCATATATTTCCATATATTATCTTATAAGAAGTTTGTTTCCTTTTATTTTCTACACCCACTCATCCATACCCGAGCAACACTTTGTGACTATAAGCTGGGGAATACTGGTATCTATAATTGCATCTTGCTTCTTTTTTTCCTCGATATTTTCTCCCTCTCTCTCTCCCTCTCTTTTTCTTTCTCTCGAGTCGGTACTTTACGAGAAAAAAATTGAAGAAAATAATGCTTTAATGCACACATGCACAAACTAACAATGAGAAAAAAAAATGAGGATAAATGAAAATATAGAAATAATAAAAATCCAAATAAGTCTTATTTTCTAATGATATGATAAAATAAGTAATACTGACATCAAAGAAAAATAAATGTGCTTCTGTGACAGATCGAATTCAATTAGAAAGATGACAAGTAAAGGAACGAGAGAAGACAAAAAAACTCAACGTCTTCTTCTTTTCATCACTGATAAGTACTAACGAAAGAATACAATAGATAAATAAAGCACTCGGACAGCATCAATGACGTATATAATTGTGTGACAAATCTATATAATAAGACTCAGTAAATAAAATTAAGAATAGATGACAGGTAACTATAGAAGTTCGAATGATGACAACATAACAGATATATTCAATAGTATATATACGTTTTCTTTGCCCGTGTATAGATATGTATATTCAATTTATTTCATGTAATAACATACATTTCTATTGAAGTACTTATGTTGATGTCTATTAAAAGTATTTATCTTTGCATGTTGAAATAACTAGTGAAGATTCATCTACATAATTGAAGAACATAATTAAATTTCTAACTTATTTGTTCGTTTGACAAGCAAAACAAAAATAATATTAGCTTACGTATTTATAAATGGTTTATAATTAATGAATTTAATCTTATATTTTTATTAATGAAAAGGAAATATAATATGAGAATTTAAAATTTTTCAAATAAATAAAAACTTTTTTTTTATTTTTCTTTAGATAATCAATAAAATAAAAATAATATGCAAAAAAAAAAACAAATAAAAGAAAAAGAAATGATTTGAATAAATAATAAAAGTCAATTAACTAATCATTAGATGAAAATACAATATAATTTAAATAATATTTTACATATTATTTGATATATTGTCATGTTCAATTGTCATTTTAAATAAAAATTCTCTTCGATTTCTTTTCTTATCGATGTCATATCATTTATCATAAATATGACATACTTATTCTTTCAATAGTAATATCATTTTCATGTTAATTTATAATAAATAAAACAAATAAGAAAAGATTCTTCTCCATCCATCTGTTATTCGATAGAAATTTTATTTTAAATATTAACAAGTAAAAGAAAAGTATCATAAAGATTTTTCATTCTTTTTTTTCTTTTTTTTCTTCATTTAAATTACTTTATAAATATTCGAAATAGTCTCTTACAAAATTATTTTACTAGAAAAAAGAAAAAAGTCACACTAAGAATTCATTGTATATGTGATTTCTTGTCACGCTGTTCATCTCTATGATGATAAAAATATCTTTACTTAATTCCTATAATTAAGATAAATTACCTCATCGAGGGTTTGTTTTAAAAATAATCTATAGTAATTGCGTTAGTGTTGATGTAGTATCTACTGAAAACTATTTGTTATCGTACGATAAAATATTAGTTTCCAGTAAAAGGATTCTTAATCTTGGGATAAAGAGACTAAATATAAAAGTGTCAACGTAACTTCATCGAATAAATATCTTAATTCTTGGAATATGTATGAGTAAATATAATGCCTTATCACAAAAAAAGAAACCAGAGAAGGTTATCATATAAATTGCACAAACTAATAAAATACTTTGTTGTCATCACTCGATCAACATGTTCCTGTTTACTAGTTATTTTTTCTTTTTTTTTTTTTCCTAAACTATAATCTATAGAATATTTTTGTTAAAATATTCACTAAATTTGGATAATTATTATTATCGTTTTTTTTTTGTGTGATGAAAATGAAAAAAAAGCATAGTTTATTTGTGAAAACTATTTTTTAACCGTACTCGTATTATAATTAAATATAAATCAAACAAAAATACAATAGAAATTCATATCTATAAGAGTTTTGTTAAGTGGAGTCTTGTCTAGAAATGGATTATTGGCTTTTTTTCTGAATGATTATTCTTTTCGGGAAATAAAAAAAATCTCTTTTTCTATTTATCATTAGAGAATTATATTTTTTATTTTGATTCAGTGACAAAGAGCGGAAGCCAGTTATAATAATTCAATAAAGGCACAATCATTATGACCTATATAAAATGAGTTTGATTATGATAAATAATTTTAAATTGTTGAATGAATAATATTTTAAATATTCGATTATTTTTATTGAAAATAATATAATTAATCTTTTTAATAGATGTTTTCTAAATTAATATTAAATAATTAACTTTATCAAAAATGATTCTATTAATTGAAATGAAAAATAAAATAGATAGAATATGACACATGTTTTTCTTTTTTTCTTTTTTTATAAAGTAAATAGTATTCCTATGGGAAATTTATCAATAATATATTTAAAAGACGAAAATATACGATAATGCATAAAGATTTCACATTGTATTATAATCAGCTGATAAAATAAAATCGAAATACAGTCATTCTGTTATTTTCTTTCTTTGTTTTTTATATACATCACAATCGAATATATATATATATATAAATTTATTCGTATGTTTATTCTTTATCTATCGTTCGTTAAAGACATTTAAAATTATATAATGGAAGTAGATTCAACAATTGTATACAAATCCAATTGGAAATCAGGTGTTTGTTGGGGTAATTTAGCTGGATGTCTTGCTTTCTATCATTCATTAACTGGTTTTAGTTTATTAATAATTAATATAACATTTAGTTTAACATCATCTGATTATCAATTTATATTTGGTTATTCAATTATACTTGGTTTAATTATTATTTTACTTAGTATTATTCTTCTTCCACTTGTTTTTTCTTGTTTTTTGGGTCGAGAATATCATATTTATGCAACAATTCATGCATATATTACTTTTATAATTAATCTAATTAATATAGTTTTAATTATATTTGTTGCATATGAAATTAGTAAAATAAAAATATTTAATTTACTTTCATCAAAATATTTAATTGGAGATTTATGTTTACTTTCATTAACATTAATTGTTGGTATTATTGCATGGATTACATATGTTGGTAGACAATTTCATCAACCAAATGGACAATTTATTCTACAACTTTAAAAATGTTCTTTTCGTGTTTTCTTTTTCTTTGAACAAAAAAACCATTGAGAGATTTCTTTGATTTTTCGTTTCTTGTTCTTTTTGTTTTTTTTTTATTTTAAGATATTTAATATTAATGATAAATAATGTTATCAAGAATTTATTCAACAATTATTCTTGGTATTAATATACTTCTAGGTCTTGTTTTACTTTGTTTTAATACAGAATTTTATCATAATCCATCATGGATAATAACAATTGAACAAGAACAAAAACATTTATTAAATTGGAATATGGGATTTGCATTATTTATTATTTTCTATAATCTGATTTTACTTCTTCTAATTGATAGTTTATTACTTTCAAAAGAAGCAAATTTCTTTTTTATATATGGATTTATTTGTTCTGTTTGTCTATTAGCAATACATATAATGAATACTATTCTACTTGTGTTTATTTCAAGTGAAGTTCATTTACCAAAATCTTCTTCATTATATATTAATATTTCATTGTTTTCATTAGTATTTGTTTCTAGTCTATTCGATTGGTTATTATGTTATGATTTGTGTTTCTATAATAAATGTTAAATTATTATATATCGTATATATCAATTTAATATAATAATATAGATTAGAAAATTTAAAAACAAAAAAAGATCAAAATTAATCTTTTTATTTTTATTTTTTTCTTAGGGAAGAAAAATTTTGATTATTTATCAAGTTGAATTTTTTTTTCTTTTGATGATTAAAAACAAATAGAAAATTCTAATTGAAATATGAATGATTAAATAAATAATGATTGATATAATATATTAATTAATCGTCTTTTAATTGTTTTTGTAAGATTATATTTGAACGTAATTTCTTTTATAACTTGTTGAGTCATCAATCGATTACATTTAATGTCAAGCATAGCAAATTTTCTTGAATCATACATACTAATATATTTGTAATTTCCTAATGATTCATTGTTACAGGAACACATCATCTTCTTCTCTTCCGATTAATTCATGTGTTAGTTGACATGCACCGGGACTCATGACGATTGCATATTGCACGTACGTTTTTATTTAAATCATTGCATGAAAGATCAATATTTTCATTTAATGAAAGAAGAATTAAGAGTTCATTTTTAATAGTTTGATAGTCGAATGATTAAGTATATCAAACACTTTGCTCTGAGCTAACTCTCATGTACAATCATCCTTGCTTTTGCATTTATGATTAATAATATACGAAAAATTGTTTAGATAATCATTAGATAGTTGTGCTATGACATAAGAATTTTTATTGAGATTTAACAGACATCGTTCTACTTATTTCAAATCTACTATTTAAATATAAGGTAGAAAGAAAAAGAAAGCCAATTTGTCGTACATCGAAGAACATTAAATAATGGAGATAAATAATATGATCAATATTTAGTGGAAAATATTTTTTTGATGTATGTTTTCTATGTTTTTGCTTTCTCTTATAGATTTCTTCTAGGACACAGAAAAGCATATTTATCCTGAAAATAGAAATAATGATTTAGTATAAATGATTAATTTTTAATATATAAGGTTGGTTGACAAGGGAAAAAGGATGTTTGCCTGGGTAGAAAAAAAAGAAAACTAATGAATTCATAACTCGTATAGAGTTTAATAAGAGGCAATTTTTACGACAAAATATGTGTTTGTGCTATTAATATGAATGTCGTTTTTTTTGAAGTTGACATAGGAGAATAACTTGTGAAAAACATTACACTAATTAAAATCTGTATATCATCTGTAGGTGCGAAACATCTATTTTATAAAACACGTCAACATATAGAGAGAAAGAACAAAAAAAAACACCTATTTCAGTACCTCGTCATTATTTTATTGCTCTCATCATTCATTTACTCAGATATTTCTTATTGATGTTTTATTTTTTTCTAATATGATGATTGGAATTAAAAGTAATATATTCATAAGAATCTATTTAAGACAATTATTAAAATATTCGATATGAGAAAGTTTATAATTATATATCAATTTATTGTATGAACAAATATTATTCAAACTATGAAAATTTTTAACTTTATCCTTTTCATTTTGCAAAAAAATATTTCACAAGTTAGTTTTGATCTTTTTATATAGAATATATATTTGTTTTATCTTAATCAATAATAAACAATCCTACATCGAACAAAATAATCTAGAATATGAAATTATATTATCTCTAAAAGTTTTGATATACAATCTATTGGTTTATATTATTATTGCCTTGAAAAAAATTTATTCTAGAAATTATTTCACACATCTTGTATGTAGAAGAAAGCTGTACAAAAATGAATATAACTTGTAGTTAATATAATGTCACTCATTCTTTGCTTTCAATTAAATTAAAATGTTTATTATATATTGAATAAGACTCTTCGTAATGAAAATCGTCAATCAGTAAGACCTTAGTTTTTATACTTGAAGTTACTTGTGACAACACTTTCTCGACTTCCATCAACTCAACGAACTATTTACCGTGGAATTAAAAATGATATGAAACATTAATATAAAAAAGGAGAAACAGTTATCTAGTGGAGTTTTAGTTCATGTACATCATCAATGGATGTTTTGAATAATGAATCATTTCTCGCTTTATCTGGATCGAGAACTTTTTTACTATTGAACGTTAAAGTAGAAAAGATATTCGAGAACATTCATACTTTATAAAAGAAAATGAAATATTTCTTCCAGCTGCACGAGAATTTAAAGTTGAAGGTGTTCTTTCACAATCTTATTCAACTTAAAGAAATTCAACCAAAATATTCTCTATTGGAATCATTTTTTCTTGTTAAAACATCTTTTCCAAAAAATTGAGTTATTTATAATTAAATTTTTTACTATATTTCTCTTCTCGTATACATATTAAACTACGAAATATTCAATATTGAAATAAATGCATTAGATAATTATCCTTTTTATGTTTTTTTTTTTTTTTTATAAAAGACCGTTGTTAATAATTGAATATTTTTATTTAGATACATCATATCATATACAAACAAAACAAGTAACATCATTAGATGATCTAGTTTCAACTAATAATAACAGTATAGAAGATTTTCGTTATCGTTCTTGTCTTTGCATTGGTTCTGGTCTTTTATCTTGCTGTCCTTGTACTGGCTGCTATTTCTGCTTTTTTAAAGGCTAAATCAAAATAAAATAATTATAAAGAATATATAGTTGAATTATTGAATGTTTGAATCTTTTTTTTTTCGTTTTATCAATTTGCTAAAATTTCAAAAATTGTTTCAGATCTATAAATAGTGATATACATTGACATGCCAGTAACAAACAAGAGAATATTTTAATATGCGTTATTCTATTTTTTGTTTTTGTAATTCTTTATTAGAATTACTTTTTTGAAAAACATAATCGCATAAAATTATATGATATGATTATATGTTGGATGTCGCTGAGTGCTCTTAGTAATCCTGATATGAAGTGAAACCAAAAAAAAGAAAAACAAATAAAATAGTGAATGTACAGAACGAGAATTTTTTAATTCACTACGATGAAGCCTAGAACAAGCAAAGAAAAAAGAAAGGAGAAAATATAATTATGTTTAGCATCACGATATAAAATTTACGGATTTATACTTCATACAAAAGTAATCAATTCTAGATACATTATTTCAATAATCAACAAATTAACATCAATATGAACCCACTACATATGCATGATATTATTGAGGTAAGTCAATATCTATCTTTTAAAATCTACAGTTGTTAAAGAAACAATGAAGAAATAAATTAATGTAAAATTCTAGATAAAAATCAATATATAAGAAATGATTGTGAACATTAGTTTTTGTTAATTACAAAAAACAAAAATATTTATAAAATAGAATCGAGATGAAAGAAAGAAAAACAACAATGTAATTTATGAATAATATAGTTATATTCACATTTGAGAAGATAGAGTAAAAATGTTTTTTTTTATTTCAAATATGCAAATAATAAGAATAATTCGAATTTAAAATTTAAATATTTTTAGTTTTATAATTAGAAATGTTGAGTGAATTGCAACTTTTTGATACAATTGAGATTTTGACTAGATTTTCTTAATAACTTCTCTTCCCGTTGACCGATCTGGACGATTTTTTTCTGTGTTATTAGTCTCTGACTGTCTCACTGCCACAGCAAAATTCAGCTCTCTAGTGTATACTGGCGCGGACCTATGGGTCTTACACTGCGAAAAAATTGTATTTTATAGAGAGATGTGCTAAGAAAAGGAAATTTTCTAACTAACAAAGAAAAGAAAAAAATAATAGTCAATAGTCCATTTTATACAGCTTGAAACGCTCTATCGAATAATATATTTTTTGTGTTTCTCTCTCTCTTTTTTCGCACCATTTCGCTCAAAATATTTTTTACAGACACTTCTTCATTTTTGTGTAGAAGGACCTCATTTCTTAGTTTTCTCCCTCTGGCTGTGACTTGAAGGAACGGGAAGGTATTCAAAAGAAAGGCCATCGAGCGGAAAACAAATTGATAAAAAAAATCTTCTTCCGAACACCTTTTCTTTTCGTTGAAAAAAGACGATCTTTTTCCAAAAATTCAAGTTTTACTCACTTTGTAGAAGGACTTTTTGCAAATTTCATCGCTAATAACTCTTAAACAACTCATTCGTTTTTGCTCAAAATTTTACAGTAGGTATAGTTCTTAGAGTTATATAATTGGTTCAAAATTCAGCCGTCTATCTCTTGTCGTTTACGAGAAATTTACATTATATGAAGAAATGTAGAAGGACTTTTTTGAAATTTACTATGTAAATAACTCGTGAACGACTAGTTTGTTTTCGCTCAAATTTTTACTGTAGATATAGTTCTCAGAGTTGTATGTCCATGTAAAAAATCGGCCTTATATCTCTTATTGTTCTCGAGATATTTACGTTATATGATGAGCTGTAAAAGGAGATTTTTGATTTTTTATGGTACATTTACATTGGAGTAAGGCGTATCTCAACTAATATACGGTAAAGTGTTGGGAAACTTCTGCTGTGTAACATAGGCATAGAATATAATAAAATGCACCGCTGATATATGGTTATGGTCTACTTTCAGTTTTTCGCACCAATTGTACCAAAAAGTTGCTAATTAACGTTCTATGTTATGAAGAAATATTATTTCAACCATTTGTGATTTCCACAATTCAAAGACTATATTAGTTCTATAAATAATACATTAATATTGAGGTCAATCTATGTTCGTAAAATCAAATCTAACGTTATCATAATGGTTTAGTGTAAAAGCAAAAAATCTAATTAATGATTAGAAATATTTCTACATTACTTTTTTTGGTTATTATGATTATGACTTATTACTAGTAGTAGTATATTTATTTATAACACAGATTATTTTTCTAAATCATATTAAATAAATTCCTGTAAAAAGGAAAATAAAATCTCTATTGATAGCCTATTGTTAATTGCCGTTAGTGTGTTTCTTAAAAAACTCGTTCCATATTATTAATATATTTTTTTTGTAATTCTCGTAGATATACTTTATTTTGATTCAGAGATTCAAGTGTATCCAATCATATGAGTTTAATCGATTGTTATATTCTTTGACATCTATGAATATGTTGTAGACAAAATTGAAATTCAGACAAAATTAGAATTCGGCTAGAGATAAATTCATGCAATCAAAATAATTAAAATTTACATAGAATAATTTATGTATTCAACAATATCTATGCGAGGAATTTTACTGTTATCCGCTAGTTATGTTACCAGATAACGGCAACGCCACCTTATCTAGTAACTGTATCGGTAACACGAAATTTCTGAGTTGAATAAGGAAAAGATATTTTTGAAAAATAACAATATTTTCTAAAGTTGTGATTAAAGATTTTCGGGGTCAATGAATCGAATCTGTAAGTGATTTATCGAAATTTTTGAATTTCATTTTTTCGCTAGGAATAGAAGAAGATCACTATCTCCGAAAATTATCCTTGCCATAATGAAAAATCAAACTCATGAGTTTCGAAAAACCACTTACAGATTCGAATTTCTCGACTCCAAGAATCTTTGATTAAAACCTTAGAAAATACCGTTTTTTTTTCAAAAACATCTTTTCCATATTCAAATCAGAAATTGTGGGTTATCAATTGCAGTTACTAGGTATGCGGCGTTATTCTGCCCTGATAACTATTAACGCGAAAGTCACTGTCTATCAGTCATCCAGGAGCTAGTAACTTGTACATTACTAGGTGCATGATAACGTAACCGACAATAACGGAAAATTCCCTCGCCTAGTATTGTTGAATAAAAAAAATATTTTATTCAATTATAAATTTATCTCTAATCGAATTCTAATTTTGCCTACAAAAAATACATGTGCTCATTGTAATTTCAATGAGATGAAAAAAAGTTCCGATTGTTTGTTTGTTTTGTTTTTAGCAAATGAAACGAGCTATACCGTATCCATTAGAGATTGATGATCATCATTATGGATCAGATCCAATAACTCATAAAAGTAAAATTGTTTTTTTTTGTATCAACAAATAGACAAAAAAATTTTCTATTTCTAGAAAATAAAGACGAACATACGGATGAAACAACAGATAACATGGCACAAGTTCAATCAACATCGACAACTTCTCCATCAACATCAAATAATACACAAACAAAAATGAATGATACAACTGAACAACAATCTGAATCTTTAATAAAACAAGAGAAATAAAATTTAAAAAAAAAAGAGAAAAATATGTTTTAATCGATTCGTTATATATTTTTTTCTTGTGTATTATTTTTCAAGACGACAAAAAATAAGTTAAAATATAAAAAAAAAGAATGAGTTTCATTTTGAATTATTTTGTATCAATAGGTTGAAGTGTATGCCATTGAATATGTGGTCGATTAGGTTCCGATAATGTATCTGTCCAATGTTGAAAAACTTGTTGATTTTTTATTTGTGTTGAACCAAATTCAATTGATGATATTGGTTTATTTTGAGATGCCATTAATGTTTTACGATAACATATTGTTATACGTACAGATGTTTTATGAACTGAAAGATATTCAAAATGAAATGATGTACTAAATGTAAAAAGATTTTTCTCCATTAAAATTGCTTTGGATTTTCTTTTTGTTGTTATTTTTCCATCAACAATTGTACAAAGTTTTATTTGAATTAAATCTAAAAAAAGAAAAAAAAAATTCAATTGAAAAAAAAAAAACAAAAAAAAAAGAATATTAAAATAATAAATAAATTTACCACGATGATAAGAATGACCAATTGGTTGTTTAAGTAAACATTGAATACCAATTATTTTTATTACACCAACGTGAAGTAAACATCGATCATTTTCATAAACCAAAGATATTAATGCACGAGCCTCATTTTCAGATGTTACCTTTAAAAAAAAGAAAACAAGACAAAAAATTAGAATGAAGAAAAAAAAATTTATTTGACTTGTTGTTGAGTTATCATATCGATTCGATCTTCACTTATTGGAATAGATTTTGTATGTTGTTCACTTGCTGCTAGTCCACCATCATGATGATGTCCAGCTCGTATCATTAAATTATCATATTGATTAAGTACAAGAATAATATGACCTAATTCTAAACGTTTATCATTTTTATGTTGTCCTAATACATTTATTTTTAAATAACTTTGTTCTAATGTAAATTGATCCAAATCAAATTTAAATATTTCATTAATTGGATCTTTTTTTGAAAAATATTTTTTATTTTTACGTTTATCCTTATTTGTATATAAACGAATTTTACAAATTAATGATGGAAAACAACGTTCAATTAATGGTTGTGTAGAAATTAAACGTATTAATTGAAATAAAAGTTGACTATCATCAATTGAATAATGTAATTTATAAATAATATCAATACGAAATAATTCTAAAAGTGAATATTCAAATGAAGGTGTTACTGTTGTTATTATAGATTCATTATCTTGTTCATCAGAATCCGATAGAAATTCACTTGAAGTTTGTTCAGAAGTAATTGTATGAAGTGGACGAGATAAACCAGGTGATGATATTGAATGATGATAAACTTCTTGAATTTTTGATTTAACTGTATCAAATGAAAATGTTGGTGGAGGATTTGAACGACGATTAGTTGAACTTGTATATGATGAATCAGATGATAAATGTCTTTGATATCGTTTAGCTAAATCAAATGTTTTATAATTTGATGGAATATCATTAATAAAACATTTTGGTAATGTTTCACGAATGATTTTTGGTGATTGTTCTGGATTTTCTGATTTTGATGATGGAAAAACAAAACGACCTGTTGTTTTTTTTGATATTTGTGGTGTTATTGATGGTGATGATGAATAAAGTAAACGTTTTTTAGCCAGAGCAACATTTGATTGTTTTTTATGTTTACGATTTATATAAAGACAGAACCAAATAATTGTACATAATAAAATTGTTAAAAAAGTAATAGCAAGTAGAAAGATAAATATATAAGGCTTTTCGAATAACATAGACCAAAGCATTTTTATTCTTATACTGTTTTTATTGGTATACGCACAATAGCAATGTTGAAATTTCTTTCTTTTTCTTTTTTTTTTCTTTTTTACTGCGAGGATGTGATTCTATGCACCTGCTACTTTTTTAATCCTGTTTATTTATCAACTATTCGATTCAAATGAAAGTCAAGAAAAAAAAAAGAATAAGAGAGAAGGATTAGGTGTCAAAGAGTCAGCTATCATTTGTTATATACTTTAATCGATGAAAATAAATTTACTTGATCATGATATCAATATTAGTATTTTTAGTTTTTTTTCTTATTTCAATCATATATAATTATTAAGAAAGATCAAAGAGAAAATTTATATTTAAAAGAAGTAAAAAAGAAAAAAACAAGAACATGAAATTTAATAACGAACAAATTTTTGTATTCTTTGATTAAATGAATCACTGACATATAAATTAAGTTGATTATCAAGGATTACCGAAACAGGATAATAAAGCATAGTTGAATTATTTCCAAGTTTTCCTGATATACCCGCAATTGTAGTACCATTTGTTTGACCAACTTCGTACATTTGTATACGATGATTAAACATATCTGCTACATACAGATTACCCATTGGATCATATGTTATACCTGTAGGATGATCAAGAAATGTTGATGTATTACCATTCAATCCATTAGGATCACCTTGAACAATTGTCCATTTATTATCACCTAAGACCCAACGAACAATATTACTTGCACCAAAATTAGCAATGATAAGACTATTTGTTGATGAATCCAATATAAGACCAGCAGGACGATATAATTTTGTATTGTTTGTTCCAAAACCATTTCCACCAGCAGCAATAGTACCCGATGAACTACCTGATAAGTATTTCATAACACGATGATTATTATAGTCTGAAATATATACTGTATTTGAATTAGAATCTAGTGCAATGCCATATGGAATGCTGAATTGATTTAATGCTGAACCTGAAGAACCTATCATCACAATTATAATTATTTTAATATTCAATAATGTGACAAGAAATATGTTAGAAACTATTTAATTGAAAATAAATAATACTATTTTCTTTTTTAGAGAAAATATCAAAATTATTAAGAGTGAGTCTCTGAGAGACTTAGACACCGACGATGGAGGTACATCTCAGAATTCGCCGATTTTTTTATATGTTATAGAGGATAGTGAGTTTAGTATTTCCTCAAATTTTCAGCTCGATCTGATTATTTTTCCCTATACAACCAACCAACATACTAACGACATTTTTGATAATTTTTCATCGGTTTTTCGGCAATTTTCTTTACTAAAAGTGACTTTTTCAAAGTGCTTGACTTTTCTCAAAGTACAAAATTGTGATATATCCTAGGTAGTAGAACTTGATGTCCTCTATCACTGATAGAAATATCAGAGTGATTGCTTGTTGCCGCATAGAATACGATTGACCGACATTTTGATTACAAAACACATAAAAAACGAGTACTTCGGAAACTCTGATAGGACTGATGAAAACATTTGAATTTTTGTATATAGAAGGACAATACCTCAATAATTATAGTTAGAAAAACAAGAGTTCAAGAGTCTTACGAATTGAAATGAAAAAGTCACTTTTAGTAAAGAAAATTGCCTAAAAACCGATGAAAAATTATCAAAAATTTCGTTAGTATTTTGATTGGTTGTATAGGAAAAAGTAATCAGATCGAGCTGAAAATTTCAGGAAATACTAAACTCACTACCCTCTATAACATATCAAAAAAATCGGCGAATTCTGAGATGTACCTCCATCGTCGATGGGCAAGAGTGACTGATTTTCTCAAAGACTGACTCTTAAGTAATAAAATAGAAAAAAAAGTGCACCACATAAGTTTAAGACATCTTTATTTTTGAAGTTTTCCATCGAAGATGAGTAGCTAGGTCAAATCCAAACAGTGATTTGGATACTTCTTGAAATTTCTTATCAAACACAATATGTATCGAATTTTCAAAAGAAAGATTGTCACGAGAGTTTTACAGAAAACCCTGTCAGAAGGATTTCAAGTCCTAGAGGATTTTGATAGAAAGATATTTTAATATAAGCATCTCAAAGAGCAAAAAATTCTGAAGGAAATCAACGGTCGCCGAGCTCTGTACGATATTCCGTCAGAAAGTTATAAACATTAGAAAACATGAAAAAAAACGCGTTTTTCATCGATTTTTATTAAAACAAGCCCTAAAATTCGATTAAAATCACATTTTTTCATGTTTTCTAATGTTTATAACTTTGTGACGGAATATCGTACAGAGTCTGTCGATCCTTGATTTTCTTCAGAATTTTCTACTCTGTGAGATGCTTATATTGAAAAATCTTTCCGTCAAAATCCTCTATGACTTCAGATCTCCCTGGTATGGTTTTCTGTAAAAACTCTCTTGACAAACTTTCTTTTGAAAATTCTACACATATTGTATTCGATAGGAAATTTCAAGAGGTATCCAAATCACTATTTACATTTGATCTAGCTATTCATCTTCGATGAAAAACTTCAGAAATAAAAATGTCTTAAACTTTTGCGGTCCACTTTATATATTTTTTTTCTACCTGTTATTCCAGCAATGGTCTTGCCATAAGATGCACCATAACTCCAAAATTGAACTCGATAATTATCAGAATCTGCTATATATAAATTATCATTCGAATCAATATAAACATAAGTAGGACCATTCAAATAACTCATATTGGTTCCTTTTACTGCATTTGCTTGACCAGCTATTGTTGTACAAGTTAATGTTATGATATTACATTTTTGAATTCGGTGATTATATCTATCACCAACATAGAGATTACTCAATGAGTCGAATGCTAAACCAAAAGGACTGTAAAATTGTTGAGATGTGTTTCCTCTTATGCCTGTAGTACCAAACAATGTTATACCAGTGGTATTCCAACGAAGAATGGCTATAGGAGCTAAAAATAATAGTATGAAAATTTTTGAATTATTGTTCTTTATTCAATTCCAGATAAAAACAAAAAATTTTTCATGAAAAGATATTTACAAGGTGTTATAGTTGTTACTTTGGATTTGTTTAATAGAATAATAAGAATAATAATACCGATAATTATACTAAGAAGAATAGGAAAACATAAAGATATGAATACTCGTCGTCGTGAACATTGACAATAATATTTAAACCAATTCCTATGTGTTAATTATTGAAAAATATACATTAAATATACTCTCATTTGTACTTACTTGATCTTTTTCTTTTTTGCTAAATGATAATATTTATGTACAGGATTTGTTAAATCTTCTACTGTTCCCAATAACTATATTTTTAAGAATATAAAATGTAGAGAGAATAATGTTAAGTATTGGGTTTTTTTTTTTTACTTTTTTGTTTTTAATATGATTTGTTGAAATTGTTTTATTGATAATAGTATTCTAAAGAATATTTTTAGATTTTTAATTAAATGATTCTTTTTTTTTGGTTATCTAATGATATGTTACTTCGCTTGTTCTAGATTGATGATGTTTGATAGTTGAATTTGTTTCATAATTGTTCGCATACTCAAATTTTTGATTTAAATCATCAGTAGATTTCCATGACTTGTCACGAAACTATTGTAAATATATTGAGTTTTGTAACAATATTTTAAATTCATGTCATAGTGTACTCAGTGACCATGTAAAGGACTAAATATCGGGTAGGATATATATAGGATATTTGCTCTTATCGCTGGAGAAACCTGATAACTTTCAATAATCATGAGGCAAAAAGTACATCCCCTTGCATATGCTCTGCTCACGAGCTCACTATTTTCACTGCATGAGTATGTCAACCTCGGAATATAATTTCGATTGAATAAGCCATAAAAAAAAAAGTAATTACTTGGGATTGATGAAATCAATATTTTGTTTTTTGTTTGGCATCAACAAAGTACAATGTCGCTCGGTTCCTTTTATTTTTTTATTATGATTATTGTTTATTCTATGCCTTAGTAACATCTCTAATTTCTAGATGACAGATTATTTCAATAAAAAAATCGGATAATGATAAAGGGCATCTCATAGATGAACGAAAATAAGTTTATATGTAGACAAAGATTATTCGTTACTCAACTATATTTATATGAGCTTCAAGTACTTAGGACGATGTTTTAAAAAACGATACGTATTATCTAGAGTGTGAATGTGAATATACTCTATACCCACATCTTAGTTAACACGTTGCTTCTGTTTACATCATTATTATTAAAAGAGATAATGTCATCGGATAATATTCCATTTAAAATATCGTTCTAAGTATTCGAAGCTCATACAGAGATATATTCGAATAGAGAACACTCTTTGTCTACATATAAACTTATTTTCATTGGAACCTAGAACTTATGGAATACTCTTTATATAAGTCTTTATTCAAGTTAACCTGTGATGATGGACGATGAACTCTAGTCACACTGACAGAACTTGTTGCACTTGTTGACCGTTTGATAGAATTTTTTTTATTAATTGATTCTTTCAAACTATTACGATTTTGACGAGTTGTTACAATTGCTGATTTCTATTTAGATATGAATTAAAATAAATACAAAATAATTGAAGAATTTCATACACAATTGATACTCTTATTGTCTTTATTATCTAAAGGTATACGGATACTGCTAGTTGGTCTAACAGAAATATGAATAACTGAAGTAATTCGAGGATTCTGTTTCAATGATGAAGAACACTAAATTGAAACAATAGTAAGAGAAAAGAGAAAAAAAAGCCATCCGAGAACTCACTTGATGTTCATGTAATTCATGAGAATGAGATAATTTTTCGACATGTGATCTCGTTCTTGATGCATGATTATCTGTCATTATTAAATCAACGGTTTTTTCTATCCAGCAAGTCAATGCTTCTTATTACCGAATAAATGAATGTATCTTTCTGATTTTACACATGAGTCGTGTTAATTCAACATAAAATGAGAGAAAAAAAAAGTTGATTACCTTTGTCTTTCTTTTCAATAATTACATGAAAATCAATATTCTACAATGGTTTCGTGCATTTTTTTTGCACTATACAAAAAAAAATATTTGAATGATCTACTTTGAAATAAAATGAAACAACAAGAATCACTTTATAAAACAGCCAAATTTCTCTCTATATAAGACAAATAACTTGATTCATAGTACTGTTTGGATTTTTCGACTGACTTATTCATTTCTCTTAAGAAGTTTTTCTCTCGTCGAAACTCAATGCTGAAATGTATTCAAATATAGCAGATAGTTTCATTTAAGTACATAATTTATATAAACTTATTAGTGTATCAAGGATTTATTTCAATAATAGTATGATGAATAATTAGATACGTTTCAAATTATGCAAACAACTATTATCCATTTCTGAAAATTAGTCGCTTGGGTAGAATTCTTATAACTTTTGAAAGGAAAATGATAGAGACATGCGGTTTTCGTCGTTGGATAGAGAACAGCAGGGCACGTGTTACTATGAAATAATGGAGTCTTTAAGTAAGGTATTTCATGATAAATCTTTAAATGCAAACTCTACAACGCTGAAATTTCTTAGGTATGATGGATTTTGATTTCTAAATAGCGAAATCAATAGTCTGAATCGTGATCTACAATTTTTGACCAGTTTTAGGTCTTTATCGCTTACAATTCGAGAGTTATAAGTGTTTTTTGCAAAGATATCTACTCATACTTGCATACAAACAAAAATTTATAAGACATCTGATATGTAAGTTTTTAGGTACACTGAGATACGTGGCGGTATTTAATTGGAGTTTGGACGATGTTTAATGACCGGATAGGAGTCGATACCTGTACGAAGAATGCATATAACTCCTGAATCGTAAAAGATACAGATCTGAAGTTGACTTAGAATTATAGATCTCGATCTGGGCTATTCCTTTCGCTATTTGGAAATCAAAATAGACCATGCGCTCAGGGGATGGTAATCTCGCGAAGTTTGCATTCGAGGATTTACCATAGTAAATCTGACTTGAAGTCTCCGTTATTTCATAGTAATACGTGCCCTGCTGTTCTCTATCCAATGACGAAAACCGCAGGTCTGTATCATTTTCCTTTCAAAAGTCACAAGAATTCTGCCCAAGCGACTAATTTTCAGAAATGGATAATAGTTTTTTAATCGCCTCAGAATTTGGATCAATTCCATAAAATACATTTTAAAAACATAGAAAAAATAACAAAGAGATATAATAGACTGCTAGTTTACACTATTCAATTTGTTGATTTAAAAAGTAAAAATTACATGAAAATGTAATCAACAAGTCTAATAAATATGCTGAAGCTACGAATTTTGCCGATGTTTTTGTTTTGTATTATAAGGTGATTCGAAAAAAATTTGTTCCTTTTTTTCAATATTGTTTCGACATCTTTAGTATTCAGTTTCTAATTGAATTCTTTTTGCAATGAGTCGAGCTAGAAAAAAAAGAGACTAAATAAAATAGTATTTCATTTTGTAAACCTTTCGCTATAACTGTAGACGAAAAAGAAATTCATTAAATATTAAGTTTATGCAAGGATGATATACTTTTATTGGAAAGCAAAAATGATCTCTGACTAACAATTAATTTTGACTTGAAATGTGATATAACTAGCTCTTAATATATAATATTTTTCGAGACCGATTTGAGTTAACATAAATTTATCCTTCATCGATTTCATGGAAAAAAAGCGAAAATTTTCGAAAGCTAAGTTGACATTTCTTCGTCCTTAATTCACTACTGTCCTAATTTTTCTATCAACTCACTTGTGTATGACGCTTATTTTCAAATGGAATCTGAAATAAGCTCTCATCTACAAATGATTTATCATAACAGGATTTATGTACCAAGTTTCGCATAAAACTACTAGCGGGCAAAATTGCCATTATGCTACAACTAAAATTTGAAAAAGAAAAACTATCGATGAATATATATTGAAACTCAGTTTTGAATTTGGCGATCAAAGAAACGGTTTTTAGTGAAGATGATGATTTTGATAAAACTTAATTAAAGGTGTTCAGAATCGAAAAGTTGAAATTTATAAGTGGCTTCTCATCATTTTGCTGTTCTATTTTTCTATTAGAAGAAGTAGATTTCAAGGAAACCGACCTTTTATATAGCTGAATTAAAATCACTGTCAATGGATTATTACAGGTTTAGAAAGCTTGATTCGAAAATTTCAAGAAATTGCTTATGCACTCGGATTGCGCGATCTGAAAAAACTTTAGTGAAGTTTTATCAACACTACTATTCCTACTAAATACCGTTCCTTTGATCGAAAAATCCCAAACTGAAAGTTTCAATAAATATTCGGCAGATCCTATTCTCTTTTCAAACAGACCAAAATTACTAGTTAGTTGTAACATAATCAAAATTTTTCTCCCTTAGTCTTGTGATGTGAAGCTTGCTAATCGATCAGTACCTTAATTCTTAATATAATTTTTAAAAAAAACACTTTGATCAAAAACTAATCCAAAATCAAATCCTTCAAAACTAACACTGACTGAAATTCTGAACCCCAAAACGATATGCAAAACTGGAATTCGAAAAGCTCCGATCTAGCGCAAGAAGTAAGAGAGTCAATAGAGAAAGTTTGTTACATGAGATTTCGGTTCTCTAAAAATAACGAGTGAGACAGATAAAACGATTGCATTTTGCATTTCAATTTTTCATCACTTAATACGTTGTATTAAAAAACAAAATATGATACAAAATCCAGCGTGAAAAGTTCTACAATCCACAAAGTAAAGTTTATTTAAATTGTGCACTTTTTGTTTTCAGAAAAAAAGCAAAATTCTGTGCGACTGATTTTCGATGCTGTGAAAAGATCATTTTTTTTTCTACACGAATAATTCATTTCATCTTTTTATCACCTAATACATTTTATTTTAAAAAAAAACAAAGTACATCATAAGATGCAGCGTGAAAAGCTCTATAATTCACAAGAAAAGAATTTAGTTGCAAAAATATATCAATAGGAAAATTGTTGCGAACTTTTTTGCCATATATAAAACAATCGAAAAAACTTTCACTTTAAAGCAGCTTTGTTTATTTTGATTCACTTTTGATGTCTTTACAAATTGCGTAGATAATTTATAAGATCGTCACAAAATGAATAGATTCATGCTTGAATATAATGAATTTTTGCCAATATCAGATTTTGATAGTTGTATCAACACTCTTCCAAAGTGCTAAAGTTTTAGGTTTAAGTATTAAATGTGAACCAATAGCATTAACATGAGTGAGCCATTCGAATCTCATTTGATCATTTTCCATAAGTGATCGAGCCAATTTCAAAGTCCCTCGTGTGCAATTGACTCGAAATGAACGAAGTCGTCTAAATGATCTGATCAGCTCTTCAATTATTTCTACCTGATTTTTCTTTATCAATTTACTCGATACGACTTGAATGCTTAGACATTCAAGTTGAGGAAATGTCAATATTAAATGATGTAAATCCAGGAGACGAACAGCTCCATCAGCCCCTTGACAAAATAATTCCAGGTCTTTAATATGATTGCCATTGATTGAAGGTGATGCTGTACGTAGAAGATAGATTAAATCGCCGTACATCATTTTGAGAGTGTCAAGTCGTTTATGACCATAGAAGAGTTGATCAAAAAGCACTCTATTCACTTTGCATTCTGTCGAACGACAATAAAACAATGAATTGAGATGTTTGAGTGTCAATGGGGCTGGAAGTGCTGCATCGATTTCATTCTCCTGATCATACACATTTATCGAACTAAGAGAAAGCCATGTGATAGAGGAAAACTGACGAATAACTTCAAGATAATCGTTTTTAATTATCGGAACATATTCGCCATTCATTGTGAGTCCAAAAATGTTGTGAGATGGTTGCTCCAAGTGTGCCGTATTAGTACAGAGAGCGCGAACAGCTTCTGGAGATGTGTTATAACTTTGTTCACGATTGAATCGATAAGGAACACTATCAATAAATAATGTTGATAGGTTTGTATATATACGAAAGGATGAAGACAAATCGAAATTTTCTGCAAACGATTTAAAAACAACCGATTTCAGTTCAGCATATATACCATCACTAAAACGATTAAGTAAACTTGTTGTTATTTGTATTTCAAGACCCAAGAGGAATGTTTTCAGAGAAGGCATAATAGCGATCATATCTGTCCAAAGGTGTGCCTCCGCATAATCAGGATCGTCAGTTTTCACGCTAACGGAAAGATATTCAATCGAAGGAATATTACAAATGAGTGGTCGTAATAGATCTTGAAACGGAATTACTTGAAATTGTACTGTTTGTATGTAAAATTCTTTTAATACTTGAGGTATAACATTCAATCGAAATTGAGGAACTAACTCTTGTGGTGTATTACGTACAATACATAATTCTAAATGAACTAGGTAAGGTGCAAGTGCGAAAAGAATTGACAAATCATGTATGGTAGCAATTTGAATAATAAGCTCTTCCAAACATGTATTCGGATTGACTTGTGTTCGGAGTTGAATGCCTTCATCGATTAGAAGTTTTACTTTTTGAAAATTATTGGATGTAGAAAATATATAGGAATTTATTAGAAATTCGCTTGTACTTGTCATTTTTTCATAAGAACTAAATTCAATATTCAATTCTTCGAGATAAAGTAATTTAGACAGAATTTCCACATTGTTGTTAGTAAATTCACTCAGTGTAATCGATTTTAAGAGGGGCAATGTGTTTTTAAAACTATCATTGTCGAGATTCTTGCCAAAAAGTTCAATTTGACCAGTGGCGCATGCATTGCTAAGTGATAACTTGATAAGACGTTCACCGATGAAAGTCAAGAAAGAAGACGAACAGAAATATTGAAATTGATTGAAGGAAAAATCAGATATATCCAATTTGGAACGAAATTCTGCAATCGTACATTGGAGACGAGAATTGAGACGACCAAACGAGTAAAGTATATCGAAACGACTTAGATAGCGACATATTTCAATCAGTATTTCATCTGGAAGATCTTCTAGTTGATAACGGTACCCCATTTGAAATATAAATACATTACAAATATTCTCAATTTAACACAAATATCGAGTATATTCTCAAACGGCTAATGCATTGTGCGTTGAGTTGTCTAACTACCATGTGATTTAAGCACGCAATTGCAGTAGGAGTAAACACAGGATTGAAGAAGAAAAAAAAGATTATTTTGTGTATACCTGCCCTATCCAACAAAAACTCGTTATTTTTTCACATTGCACACACCATTCACCTATACGTATGAGTCAGAAAAAAGCATGATTCATTCGATACAATGTTTGATATTGAAAGAGAAGTGTGCATTCCCAATCAGAAAATTTCAACATATTCTATTTTGAAAGAGTCATTTATTTCAAGACACTGTTGATAAACTCATCATCAATTACATGCACATCGTTTTTCTTTTACGTTAGTCAACTCAGCAATACATACTTTCAACTACTTGCTGAAGATGGTGATCTTCTTCAAACATTCTATACAAGTTCTTTCGTTCTTTTCACAGAGTTTTCTGAGTCCAGTGTGATAGTGTGAGATGGAACTGGGTCTTATCATAATGGATACCAACACACTCATCCACACCCTTGTTTTATCGCTCTTTTTATAAAGATTTTCCAGATGGACATCCAATGCTGAAATGTATTCAGACGTTAGGAAACAGTTTCATTTAATTATATAGTTTATATAAACTTATTAGTGTATCAAGGATTTATTTCAATAAGCGTATGATAAATAACCAAATACATTTCAAATCATACAAAACAATTAGGTTTGTGACAGCTTCAAAACTTAGGTCGATTCTAAAAAATATTGCTAGTTTCTTTTCTGAACATTTCGAAAACATAAAAACAATAATGAAGAGAAATAGAAGATTGCTAGCTTACACACTATTCAATGTGTTGTTTTAAAAAGTAAATATTACATGAAAACAAAATCAAGAAGATAGTATTTTGTTTTTCTTTTTTAAAATGTCAACAAATCTAATGAATATGCTTGAAGCTACAAATTCCATTAATAACTTCATTTCTATTAAATCGTGCTTCGTCATTATGTAAACTTTCTGATTACGAAATAAATCATACAAATAAAACGCGTCAAATGTAAAATACTACAACGTGGCAGTAAAATGAATCAACTTTCAACTATATTCATAACAATAATCACATTGTCCTCTTACCATAATTTCAATAAAACTCACCACTTCTACTAAATTCATTTACTTATTTAATATAAACGAAAAACCTGTAGGTAAATATTGTTACCAAATCAATAATAAAATTCCAATGGTAACTAGTGACATTCCAAAACAAATTCTTTCATTGGTTTTAAGTTAAATCATTTTCCCGGGTAAATTATGGATGAGCATGAAAATTTATCATCTTTCCTTTACTCAAAATAAAATCATTTTCGTTTGATCGATTTTGTTCTCATATATAGATTGATCCTTAAAAAAAGAAATCTTTCTATTTGTTTATCTCATTATTCTTCGAAGATGTCGTCGCCATTCGAAGCACCTAAAAATGGTATATATATCATTTTGGGTGAAATTCAAGCGTTGACATCATCAAGAAAGAATAATCTTCGATGGTCAACAACACATACCTATGAAGTATTCAATAAGTCTTTATATTTTCTTTTAAAAATTAATATTTTCTTAGGAATCTTCTGAAATGAATTCATTTCAAAATCTAAAAACAATTCTTAATTCTGTATCAGGTAAAAAAACAAACAAATTAACAGAGAAAGAAAACAAAAAAGAAAAGAAACTTCTCTTTAAATAAATAATTTAGATCTTCAAGATATTGATTCTAATACATTTTTAACACCATTTCTTGAAATAATTCGTTCCGATGAAACATCTGGTCCACTAACATGTTTGGCATTAAATGCTGTTAATAAATTTCTTTCTTATGGTCTTATTGGTATAGATTCAATTTAATGTTTTATTTTGTTGAAAAGAAAATTTTTTAATTAATAGATACTCAAAGTGAATCAGCATCATCAGCTATTGATAAAGTTGCACATGCTGTAACACATACACGTTTTGTTGGAACAAATCCCAATAATGATGAAGTTGTTTTAATGAGAATTTTACAAGTAAATTTATTTTACTGTTTTATTTTTTCATTTTTTTTGTTTTTGTTTTTTTAAATTTAGGTTCTTCGTTCATTATTACTTAGTCCAGCTGGATCAAAAATAACAAATGATAGTGTATGTGAAATTCTTCAATCATGTTTTCGTATTTGTTTCGAAATACGATTATCAGGTATGGGATTTTTTTTTTGTCTTTTTCTTGCTCTTTGAAAAAAAAGAACAATCGTTATTTATTTTTTCAGAATTATTACGTAAAACATCCGAACATGTTTTAATTGATATGGTTCAATTATTATTTGCTCGATTACCACAATTTAAAGATGATGCAACATCTTCAACATTAACAAAACGAGTAAGAAGAAAACAAAGTTTCATTTTTTTTTGTCTCTTGTTTATATGATTTTATTTTAGCTTCATGCACGAGGTATAACAACAACAGGAACAAATGATACAACAAATAATCGACGTCGAGCTCAACGAGTTAGTTCATCATCAATAAAAAAGGAACAGATTAATGAATCTCAAACAAATGGTTAAATTATTATTTTGTTTAATCAATTCTTTTTCATTTCATTTCATTTTTTCTTATAGAATCAACACCATCTCCATCAGAAAGAAATTTTACTTATGTATGTGTGTTTTTTTTTCCTATCAAATGACAAAAAAAACCTAATTTGTTTTTATTCTAGTCATCTCAAATTGATGATAATGAACGTCCAACAGCAATTGAAAATGCCACTCATGAAATTCCTCCATCAGCACCAACAGATGTTGAAATAATTAATAATGAAATTGAATCTACAACAACAGATAATTTATCGACAGAATCAATTTTACCAATAATCGTTCCTTCATTTGATGAATCATCATCAAGAATTATCGATGCAAATGAAACATCATCAACAACAACAACAACATCAGTTGAAAGTGAACAACAATCACAAGAAATAAATACTTCATCATCACCAATAGAAACACAAACATCAACAAATAATAATGAATATATTAGTCCAAGAGGTATTAAATTTACAACATCAGCAACAACACCAACTACTACTGGACCAGTTAAAGGTAAATCAATCTGACATTTGTTTTTTTTTACTGAATTTCAAAACTTTTGCTTTTTTTGTTCCATAATTACAAGCAATTGAATTAACATTCATATAGTGAAAAAGCGAAATAATAAATAAATTGATATAATAACATTCAGATATTTATTTAATTATCTTATATGAGAATATATTCAAAAAAAAATACAATCCTCATTTTATTCTTTAAGTTAAATCAATTAACTAACTCATATTTAAACTGAAATAGATTAATAGAAAAATATTTTCATAATACAATTCGACTAATGGATGATGAAAAACTGAAAGAAAATAATCGTCTATATATCAATAGAGGATCTAGTTTTTGATAAATGAGAAAAAATAGCAGTTTACCAAAGAAAGATGATCTTTATAAATAAATAAATAAAAAATCATGTTTCAAGACCAATTTGAGTTCACATAAATCTATTCTTTTTCATTTTTATGAGAAAAATTGAAAGATAGATTAGTTGAGTTTATTTGCTGTTGGCAATATGACTGTGTACGAATATAACAAACAAAAAATTTTCTTGTAAACTGAATGAGAAGTTCAAAGATTGATTCTAAATCGTAGAAACCCTTCTTGAGGATCTTTGAAGAACTGATTTTGATGATAGTTTTACCATCTATGTTGTTTATGGTATGATGTCTATCCTTAAGTTTTTGAACTTTTTTTGTCTTAATATTAGAGAATTATTCAGTAATGACAGTTTAATTAGATGTGAACGGAAAGAGTCAATATTCTTACATATATTCCTAATAAAAGTACATAGCCTTTATAAAGAATTCAAGTCAAATAAAATATAGTTATATTCTATTTTGACTGATTTTGTCTAATCATTAGTTCTTTGCTCATTGCAAATGAACATTTCTCATTTCGATAGGTTATTTTTCTATTGAATGACTTGTATACACATTCGATTATATTTAAATAGATTCTGAAAATAACTCTAAAAATGATCTACTTGAAGAGGATTTATGATAGAAATAAATGATTAATTAATTTGATTTATTTTCAGAAGCATTATCACCTTATGGTTGGCCTTGTGTTCGTGGTTTATTTCGTTTTTTAACTACTCTTATCAATAATTATGATAAGTTAGTTTAATTCTTTCGAACATCTTTTCGGTTATAAATAAATATTTTTTTTTTCTGTTTCTTTAAATAGAAATAATACTGAATATATGATGACAGTTGGTCTTAATCTTTTAACAGTTGCATTAGAAGTTGGTGCAGATCATATTGCTAATTATCCATTATTACTTTCGATTGTTAAAGATTCATTATGTCGAAATTTATTAAGTGTAAGTTAAAAATAAAAAAAAAATTTAATTTATTATAAATAATAAAATAATTTTAGATGTTAAGTTGTAATCGTATACAATTATTTTCTGCTTCAC